GAGGTGTATGAGGTGGAAGCGGACCTGCGAGTTGTTCCTGGAGTCTAGCTTCCCCTCGTGCATCAGCGTGTCGTCGATTTGGGATGTGGAACAGGAGCTGCTGCTCTTCAACCGGAAGATGCTTCTAAACGGGAAGACACCTGCTGGACGTCAGAAGGCGTCTAAAGGTCTGAAGCGGTTTGTCATGAAGGACTTAATTAATGTCGCTGAGGACGGCTCGAGGGCTCTTAAGAGCACCCAGGAGCTCGAACGGGAGTTCGGGGATTCAGCAGGGGCGAAGCTGGCGAAGAGGGTTTTCGACGCTGCCCCGGATGAGTGGAAACAGTTGCTGCTGGCGCCTGTCACGGCGCACACAGTGCTAGCTGCCTCTAAGTTTGTGCTGAAGGCAGGGACGAGCTACGGGGTCTGGAGGATTGAGTGCGTGGTGGGGGAAACCCTAGTCTGCCGAGCTATCAGCTGTTTTCGGGGGGTGCTGGGAGATGCGGAGGAGAAGCTACGTAGTTTTCTGCCGCGCGAGGTGGTACCTGTGGTGGTCAGGGAGGGCCATTTCCTAGGCCCTGCTGGCGCCCCTAAAGCAAGATTGCTGTGCTCGCCCATCTGGGATGGGGACCGTCCGGCGCAGCTGAAACAGTTGAAGGAGGGGTTCAAGCGGTGGAGCGGGAAGCCGAAGCAGCAAGCCACGTGGGAGGAGACCCTCGGCCGTCAGATTGACTGGAAGAGGGTGATCGACGTAAGGGACTCAGCGGTCCTTCCGAACCGGGCGAGGGACGTGATGCTCCGGATTCACAGCCGAAACCTGCAGGTGGGGGAGCGGTTGCATTTCCTGGGCACTGGTGTTGCATGCCCGCATTGCGGGGAGAGGGAGACGCTGGAGCACGGGCTGTTTCTCTGCCCGCGCATCCAGCTGGTGGTTCGGGCATTACTGAAGGCGCTCCGCATGCTGAATCCGCATCGGAAGATCGAAACGCTGGGGGACCTGGTTTTCAAGAAGGAGGGGACAGCTTCGGGTTTTCCCGAGGCTTCGCTTACAGCGGTCGCTCTTCACCGAATCTGGGTGGAGAGGTGTGATGCAGTCTTTGAACGGAGCAAGTTCCGGGCCAGAAGGGCACTGCGGAGGATAGCGGCGTCTTTCTAGCTGCACGTCAGAATTTACAAGCGTGCCAAGGCGGCATCCAAGAGGCTCGGTGCCACTCGTCCTGGACTGGATGATGACGAGTGCCGGGTCTTGAGTCATATCCTCAACAACACAGCACAGCCGGCCACGTGGTCTAAAGGGTTCATGGCCATCTGGTCGAACCCGAGGGCTGCTTTCCGTCCTCCTTAGAGGTTCAGGATGGGTACGGAGGGTTGTATCCCCCTAGGCCCATCAGCTACAGTTACGACTGCCGATGGATTTTGCACTTTTTTAGTGTATTTTGCATCCAAAAAAAAGAGTGTTGTTTAACACTGTGTTGCTTGGGTGTCCTAGCCTTGCGTACCAGGTTCCTTCGTTGGCGCGGTGTCCGGGTGAGTGCCGGTACATGTCGGAGTTGGAGTAGAAGCTGGCGGTGAAGTTGGCGCTTCGATGAACTTTCTCGCGGTGCTGGCTGTAGTTGTTGCGCGGGTGTCGGAGGTGTGCCGTCGTTGAGGAGTGTTGCCGTCGAAGTACTAGCGACCGATGTTGGTGTTTTTGCTGCTGCCGTTGATGTCTCTGCTGCTGCCGGTGTTGTCTCTGCTGCTGCCAATGTTGTCTCTGCTGCTGCCGGTGTTGTCTCTGCTGCTGCCGATGTTGTCTCTGTTGCTGCCGATGTTTGTTGAATTGTTGCTAACGCTCTTGTTCGTTCTGCTTCAGGGATGGTGTGTGAATACCAGAAGCCGCCCGGACTAAAGTCCGGATCGAGATCTGGAGGGTGGGTCCAGTTGGTGAAGTTAACGATAGCATCGCTGTCCGCGGTGCCGAGATCAGGAACGAAGTCGAGGACGAAGACGTTGTTCTTCAATACTGCCTTCCCGATGTAAAGTCCGCCTCTCCCGTGGTACAGCTTGAACTCCTGGGTGGTGCTGTTTGCTTCAAGGTGAATACCCTTCGCCATCAGTTGACTGGCGCTGAGTAAGTTGTAGCCTAGGCCTTCTGCGATTAAGACATTGGACATCTGTAGAAATAACGTTCGCCTCTCGTGACTGAAGTTGAACAATGCCTTGTCGTCGTGTGCGCAGGTTCTGATTGTTGGCGACGGTGATGACTACTTCTCGTTGAAGCTGGTACTCTCGTTGCACGAAGCGTCCTGAAGAACACATGTGCTGTCCGCAGCAACTGTCCAAGAACCACGTGTCCTTCCCGGATGGCTCGCTTTGAGCGATGGCGGCGTATGTCGGATTCGGCTGAAATGTCTCGCGGCGCGGTGTGGTTTCGTCGAGTTGTTCTTCCGGTGAGTAGTACGGTGGTGACTCGGTGATGCAGGAGTCGCTTAGTCTTGCCATGCAGCTGACGATGTTTCTTGCTCCTTGTGCAGGTTGTCCTGTTGAAGTCGTTGAAGGTTGAATCTGAGCCGTGGGGTTCGCTTGTGTTGAGGCGACTTGGCTGCTTGAAGGTCGAAGTTGCCGTTGTGGAGTCGATGACTGTTGGCGATTCGGACAGTGTGTCCGTGGGTGCCCTGAAGTCTTGCAGATGTGGCAGAAGGGAGGTACTGGCTTCGGTTGTTGCTATCAATGGTTGTTGTTGTTGTAGCGTCGCTGGGTGTGAAACGCAAATTCTGATGCTGTTGTCTTCTTCCTGTGTCGTTCTTCTTGCAGGTCCATGTCTTGCTGCTCGGCGTGGATTTCGGCGCAAAGTGCCGCTTCCGAAATTCTTCCGTGGGATCGAAGGATAGCTCGCGTGGAGCGCCATTGAGGACCGAGTCCTCCAATGACGACTGTCACGAAGGCGTCTTCGGATATTGTTCCTCCGCATCGAAGAAGCTTGTCGCGCAGCTCGCGACAGCGGCTGATATACGCCATTCCCTTTTCGCCTGGTTTCATTTCCACTGTTGTCAGCTGTGCCATTAACCTGCTTTGGTTGACGCTGTCTGTTGCTTGATACAGGCTCTTCAGGTGGCTGTATGCAAGCTCCGCCGAGTTACCGAAAGCCCGGTAAGACCGTATGTTCTGCTGCTGAGTCGGTGTGATGTTCCTCAGTAGGATTGTGTACGCCATCATTGACTGATAGGTGTACTGCTGTTTCTCGTACTGTGTGCCGTTTGATGGGTATGCTAGGGACCCATCGAAGAATCCAAGGATTTGCGCGCCTTTCATCATGAGCTCGAACTCAAACGACCAGGTGAAGAAGTCTTTGCCGTCAAATGGCCTTGACGTCTGCAGCTTTAAGACATGTGCGAATTGCGATTGAACTTGCAGTGCAACCAGTGGTTTTTCTTGTCCAGGTGGAGCTTGCGGGTGCGGCATGAAGCTGATGGACCCGCGTTCGTACGGAGCAAAGGTGGGTTGCTGCTGGTTTCCGCGCGCATAGGATGAGCCGTCGAGACTCATTGGAGTCGCCTCATGGTTGTTGTTGCTGTTGTTTGACTGCGCAGGTGCCGACTGCTGGTGCTGCTCGTAGAAGGACATGAAGGAGAAGAACTTCTCCATCATGCTCTGGTCGAAGCTCGCGGGTTGGCTTGCTGAAGGTGCTGTTGGTCTTGTTGCCGTATTCTCCTCTGTCTGCAGGCCAGAGGCAGGAGGTGGAGTAGGAGTAGTACCCTGGGAGCCGTTAGAGGAGCTCCTTTCCTTTTGTGTTGCCATGTCTTGCGATGTATCTGATGTCTTGAAAGTAGTTGAGTTCCCCTTGTGAGCTCTCATACCATGTTGGGCTGAGAAGTAGCCCTTAGGATCTTTGCAAGGGTGAACTCTGGGTAGAAGAATGTTGTAGTAGCGGAAGCTTTAATGAAGAGATTGAACCACCTTGCGCTTGTATGTGAGGGCAAAGTAGATTGATTAAAGCAAAGAGATACAAGATTATATAATACCGTCATACCCCGGATATACCCCCATGGGGGGCAATAATAAAACATGTTTTTTTAGGGGGGTGGGCTTATAATCGGGTAAATTTATAAGCGCCGGCGTTTATAAAACGACATCTATAATTGATATATTTTTTAACACCAAGCTGTAGATCTCGTGCTTGCCTTTTCCAATCGAGTCGAAGTTCTGTGAAACTTCTCGCGCGCGCTGGAGATACACCCACTCTGACAGCTCCTGACAGCTTCTGACAGCTTCTGACAGCCCCTGACTGCTCCTGCTGACTGGACCCGCACCCAGTGCAGGGTCCGAATGTGAAGGGAAGCGAATCTGCAACACATTCCCCTGCTAAAGTAGGAATCGTTACAGTGTTTCGAACACAATTCAAAAATTAAAGTTTACGTGAGCTTATAATAAAACAAGTTTTTTCAGGGGGGTGCGCTTATAATCGAGCACCGGATATAAGCGCCGGGCGCCGATTAAAAGCGCCAGGCGCTTATCCGCGGGTGGCGCTTATATCCGGGGTATGACGGTAGTACAAGGAATGCGAAAGGATACAGTTATAACTACTTTTACTGTTGCTGTTGCGGTTCGATACAGTGACGACTCGGGCAACTGCTCTGTAACGAGTCAGTTGTGTGTCCTTGCTGTCGCGCTGTACTTGTCAGGTCAAAGGTCGCTGACCTTTGACTTTCGCGTAACCTCCAGCAACCTCTCAACCTCCGAGGGTTGACTCGCGGGTGCTTCGATATGGTTCACTTCGCTTCTGGTGCGGTGTTTCGACACGACAGAGGTGCTTACAACTTGTTGCTTCCAACAATTTTAACACTCCGGATAAGGTGAGGGAGGTCTCTCCCGACCATACAACTACCATATTGTGGCGGGAGGTCTCTCCACAATGGCGGGAGTCCCATTGTTAACAAGTGTGCTGGCCATGCAGGACTTTAACAAGTCGTACAACAGTCATTGTGAAGCATGGACTTGAGTCGAGATGCTCGTACTTGCTATAATTTCTCTGCTTCCCCCTTTCACGAAATGAACTAGCCACCATTTCCACCACCCACACCCTCACCATCTCCGTCCCCACTCGCCTCCTCCCACTCTCCACTCGACTCATCTCTCTCCTCCTCCTCTCCCCCCTCCATCTCCATATCCCTCTCCCCCACCTGGTCCGCCTCCTCTTCCTCCTCTATGGATGCCATGAGTCGAGCCATGAGCTCCGGATGCACCTGAGAAACAGGCGGAAGGCACATGATAAGAGAGACAGCACGGGGTGAAAGGGAGAGACATGCTCCCTCTCCTCCCTCCGCTCCTCTTTGCCCTCTATGGATGCCATGAGCCGAGCCATGAGCTCCGGATGCACCTGAGAAAAAAACGCCAGGAGAAACGGAAAACACCAGGCTTGGGTGCAACGGAAGCCATAAGGTTCGGGTGCAGCGGAGGCCAGAAGAAAAAGCTGTAAGTGAAAAGGAGAGACAAGATCCTCTCCTGCCGCCCCTTGCCCTGTATCACTGCCATCAGGTTATGGGGAAAAGCCATGGTATGCTAGGTAGCTCTAGAAAAGACTCAAAGGACGGTGGTCATGAATTTACACATGGACCTCCTCTCCTTACCCTCTACTTTTGCCACCAGCCAAGCCATTGCGTTCCGAATGTACACGAGATGGAAGCCAATGCTCAATCCATCTTCAATTTTGAAGCCCCAATCAGAAGGTGACAGCACCCGTCAGAACAGCACTCTTCAGCACAGCACCCATCAGCAGGGTTTTCAAAAAGCACAGCACCCATCAGCAGGGTTTTCAAAAAGCACAGCACCCATCAGCAGGGTTTTCAAAAAGCACAGCACCCATCAGCAGGGTTTTCATAAAGCACAGCACCCATCAGCAGGGTTTTCATAAAGCACAGCACCCATCAGCAGGGTTTTCATAAAGCACAGCACCCATCAGCAGGGTTTTCATAAAGCACAGCACCCATCAGCAGGGTTTTCAAAAAGCACAGCACCCATCAGCACAACGGCGCAGTGCCCAAGGGTGTGAGGTCAGATGCCCAAAGGTCTGACCAAATGCACCTTTGAGATTTGTCAAAAGTGGTTATCGACCAAAGCACCTTACGGGATTGCCTTGGGGCTCACCAATTCAAATATCAAATGCAGCACGCCGTCTTGGCCTCCGCCATGCAATGCGTACTGACTGATTCAAAGCAGGACACAGATTCTGGTTAAGATTCTGAGACCCACCGATTCTAGTATCCGATGCAGCATGCCGTCCCTCTGCCGAACCTCCGTCACGCGCTGTGAGCTCACCCATCAGCAGCAGACAGGTTTCAGAATAAAGCCACAGCCACCTCAAGATACTCATTCAACGCTTACTGATTCAAAGATGCGATGACGACGCACGCTGTCCCGCTGCCACACCGATGCTGGTGAGAGTGGCTGCTGACTGACTCAAAACAGGAAACAAGATCCGGTTGCGTTTCAGGTTAAGATTCGAGTTGAGGTTTAGGTTAAGGTTCGGGTTAAGGTTCGGGTTAAGGTTCAGGTAGAAGCCACCTCACAACGATCTTCAGAGACTCACCGACTCGAAAATCCGGTGCCACATGCCGTCCCGCTGCCGCACCTCCACCATGCGGTGTGTGCTGACGTGGCGGTAATTGAAGCAGAGAGGGGAGGGAAGGCAAAGCCGCACTCACCGACTCGAATATCCGATGCCACATGCCGTCCCGCTGCCGCACCTCCACCATGCGGTGCGTGCTGACGTGGCGCTGGTTGAAGCGCCCCACCACAGGCGGCGGGCAGCTGTAGCAGGCGGCGCAGAGGTCAAAGCCCACCCGCTCCGGGCAGTCAAGGCATCTGTAGCGCGCCCCCACTATGGGGAAGGCCTGGAGGAGGGAGGGAGGAGGGGGGGAGTGGGGGAGCAGGCGGCACAGAGGTCAAAGCCCACTCACTCGGGGCAGTCCAGGCAGCGATAGGGAGGGGCGGGGAGGGGCGACAGGGAGGGGGCAGCTGTAGCAGGCAGCACAGAGGTCAAAGCCAGACATCTGTAGCGCGCCCCCACTATGGGGAAGGCGTGGTGGGGGGAATAGTGGGGCGGGAAAACGGGAAAGGAAGGGAAATCAAGTGAGGAGGAAAGAGAAAGAATGAGGAAGGTCAGATGAGTGGAGGAGAAGGGCTAAGCAAAAAAGGGCTTGGTCAACATAAGCCAACTCCAGTCAACTCAAGTCAACCCAAGTCAACTCAACCCCGCACCCGTCCCACCCCACGCTGATGCGAATGAAATCAGCGCGCAGCGTAACCAGCGCCTCCTGCCCCTCCCAGTCAACGCAAGTCAAGTCGAGTCAACTCACACCACATCCGTCACACCCCACGCTAATATGGATGAAGTTAGCCCGCCTTGTCTCCTCCAGCTCCCTCATCAGCGCCTCCACCTGCGCCTCGCTGCTCCCCTCGCTGCCCCCATCGCTGCCCCCCTCAAGGCGCGCCAGGTCAATCCGTCGCACCACCGCATGCACGCGCTCCCACGCCGCCCGCACCGCCGTGCCCTCTCCCTCGCTCATCTGCTGCTCCCCTTGCCTCACCCTGTCCCCCTCTGCCACATGCTGCTGCTCTGCCTCACTCGTGTGCTGCTCCCCTTCTGCCAACGCTGCACCCTCTTCTCTCTCCTCTCTTCTTCCCACCACTGCCACATCTCCCCCCCTGCTCACCTCCTCCTCTCGCCTCCCTCCCTCCCCTTCAGACTGGTTGTTCCCTCTCCCCGGTCCTTCACCCCCCTCCTCTCCTCCTTCTCTGCTCCCGTCACTCCCTGCTCCACCATCTCTCCTCCTACTACCCCACTCCCTCCTGCCCTCCTCTCTAACACCCTCCTCTGCACCAGAACCAACTGCTAGCATCCCCCCTCTCCTCTCCCTGCTCTCTCCCCTTTCTCCCGCTTCACCTCCTGTCTCCTCGGCCATTTCTCCTGTCCCCATCGGACCCTCCCCTCCTTCCCTCCTTTGTCTCGCAAGCTCACTGCTTCCCGTGTGCCCAGCACGCACCATCCAATCCATCCGCCCCGCACCCACCATCCCACCCGTCTCACCCTCACCCTCACCACTCCTGTACACTACCCACGACAGAACCCCATCGTCCCTCCCCTCCCCTCCCATCCAGCGAGCCTCACCCGCCCCTTCCCCTTGGGCTGCAAACGAGGCAGCGCCCCTTGGTGGTGGAGGCAGGGAGGCAGGGGGGGCATCTGAAAGGCCAGGCATACCTATCCTGTCAACGCCCTTCAAATTCCTCACCACATTCCTGAAAGGATCGGCAGCCGTGCCTCCACGTTCCTCCACCGCGCTGCTATCGCTGCTCTCCTGCTCGCGCCTGTGCAGGGCGGCAGGGAAGAGCGCGGAGAGGGCGCCGTGCAGCGGCACACATGGCTCCACTCGCCTCGTTGGCTGCACCGCCCCACACTGCACACACCGCCTTGCTGCTGTGCTGGCAGAAGCAACAGCAGCACCAGCACCAGCAGCGGCACTCGCGGCAACAGCAGCAGCAGCGGAGGCAGTAACACTGGTGGTAGCAGCACCAGCAGCAGCACTGGTGGCCGCAGAATTAATAACAACAGCAGTAGCAGCAGCAGCACCGCTACCAATCCCTAGACCTCCTGCGTCCTGCTGACCCCGCACCCCCTCTTCTCCTCCTGTCCCCCTCACCCCCACTACTGGCTCCTCTCGACCACCCTGGAGTTGCGATGGAGGGAGCGCTTGTTGTGGTGGGAGCGCGTGTGGAGGGAGGGAGTGGGGCGGGCTATGGTGAGGCAAGGAGGGTGAGGAGTGGCGGAGGGAGAGTGGGGGGGAGGAGGAGGAGGAGGGGTGGGCTAGAGAGGGTGTGCTGGCAGATGTGGCGAGGCGGGAGGACGAGCAGGCAGAGCAGACGACTGGAGGGGGGAGGGGTTGGGGGAAGAAGAAGGGGGGGATCAGGGGGGAAATAGAGGGGGGATGTTGAGAAACTATCGAGAATTGTCAAGAGGGCAACAGAGGGCGTGCTGGTGGATGGGGATGGAGGGTGTGTGAATGGGACGGAGGATATGAGAAAGGATAAGAACATGTGATTTTGTAACCACCGCACTGGACCCACCGTGACCGCAGTTGAGCACCACGGGGTGCAGCAGCAGCAGGCGGCACACCCCACATGAGAACTGCTGCTGCCAGAACGCCAGAAATGCCCCCTCTGCACTCAACCGCTCTCCTCTGCCCTCCCCCACTCGCTCCTTCCCTGTCTCCTCCTCCATTCGCCCCTCCCCTCTTTCCTCTCCCGCTCGCCCCTCCCCCATCTCCTCCCCCGCTCGCCCCTCCCCTGTCTCCTCCCCCGCTCGCCCCTCCCCTCTTGCCTCCTGCGCCGTATCTCCCTTGCGCGCGCCAGCTCTGCTCAAAGGCTCCGCCACTGCCTGTGGCAGTGAGGGCGCCGAGGACACGGGGGGAGCGGAGGGCGCGGGGGGCGCAGGGGCGGCGGAGGGCGCGGGGAAAGCGGGGGGCGCGGAGGGCGAGAAGGTGCCCATAGCGCGCTCCTCGTCCGCGACGTCCCTGGCGCGCGCGCGGAGCTCCGCGGGGAAGGCGGAGGAGAGGAAGCGGTGCAGCAGCCAGCAGACGGAGGGGAAGTGCGCGAAGGCGCGGCGGCACATGGGGCAGCGGCTCTCGCTGTAGGGCGTCATGGCGCGATGCACGCACCAGAAGCACGCACGCACGCTGGGAGGGGGAGGGGGAGGGGGGGAGAGAGAGGGGTGGGGAAAGAGGGAAGGGCTCTCGCTGTAGGGCGTCGTGGCGCGATGCACGCACCAGAAGCAGAACACATGCCCGCACGCTGGGAGGGAGGGGGAAGGGGTGAGGGGAGGGGGAGAGGGGAAGGGGGAAGGGCTCTCGCTGTAGGGCGTCATGGCGCGATGCACGCACCAGAAGCAGAACACGTGCCCGCACGCTGGGAAGGGGAGAGGGGGGGGAGGGGGGGGGTTGAGGGTGGGGGAAGAGGGGATCCGTAGCCCTATCTCAAAAGGGGAGGGGTAGATTTCAGCCGATGCCTCTGGTAGCGCCCGACGAGGTCCGAATCGAGTCTCTCCTGAGGAGAGCTCGACGCGCGCAGTCAAGGAAAGAAGCGCGGAAATCGCTGCTGCGGGTGGATACGCACCGTTGACAACGGGTTTGAAGACCAGATCGCGGCAGATAGGACAGAGAAAGTCATCCATCGAGAGGTGCATGGTCGCGGGTCGCACAGGCGGACGGATCGACGGCGGCAGGACCAGCTGTGCATCGTACGGCGCTGCTTTTGCCACGTCACCCTCGTCGGTTGGTTCGATTCCACCAGCCGCGTCCAGGACGATCCTCCGCAGAGCCATCCATCTCGCCTGCGCCTGCTTTGCGGGCAAGGGGGCACGGAGGGGCGGGGGCGCGATGTAGTGTGGATGGAGGCTAAGACGACACGGCGCAGCAGCACCACCACTAATGCTAAAACGCAGTCAGGCGAGCCCGCTAAGTTCAAGGAGAATATACAAACGGGGGGCGGGCGGTTCGTCTGGTAAGTGATAGGTTGTTTTTTGCCGATATAAAGCGTAGTAAAACAAGAACGTGTCGATGTAGTATAATGGTCAGTATCTCCGCCTGTCACGCGGAAGATCCGGGTTCGATCCCCGGCATCGGCGCTTTTTCTTTTTCCGGGTTCGACAGGCTTGCATGGCGTGTTCAGGATGGTGTCTCCTGGTATGTGGGACTTCCCAAACAAAGCTGGGTCCACCTTTGAAGGTTCGGTCCACCAATTAGGGTGACCCGGTTGCTTGAAAAGTTCGAATTCTTCGTACACGAAGCCACCGAATGATTTGGACCACTGCGACAGCCCTTGGTAACCATTCTGATATTTGGCTGTTCGGACAATGGTCCGTACTGAATTTACCATCTCGCAAATAGCTGTTTGGACGGTCCCATAGCGTTCGTTAGACGTACGCACTCGAAGTCTTGTCTTGAACTGTTACACGCCCTATCCACTGAGGTATCCCTGCTTCGGTGAAATGTTCACTCTTCGAGTATCAAGGACGGTGAGTAACGGTTGAAAGCGGTGAAGAGGCTGAGCTCACACCACCGTGATAACCCCAACCAACCCAACCCAACTCAAACCCCGAATACCTTTCGTCACCAATTAATTTGCCAGTCCACCCAAACTCGCTAGCGTTGCCCTCGCCGAACGCCATCGTTGACTCGCCGTGTGTCAGCATATGCCACGATCACTGCTGTGACTCCAGCCGCCTTCGTCTGACGAGTCAGTCAGCCAGGGGCCTTCACTTCGCTTTCTATCCCATCTCGCTTTATCTCCCCCTCTCCCTCGTTCAGCATCCAGTGCAATAGTTCAGCCGTCGCGTGCGATCGCTCAGCCGTCGCGTGCGATCGCTCAGCCATCGCGTGCGATCGTTCAGGGCACGATGGCTGAGCGGATGGTATCGACGCATGCCGCCGTTCACTCGAGCGGCGACCATCGTAACGACGGCGCTAGTAGCATTGCCGCCTCCTCTCCTCGTACCGATGGCGGTATTTCCGCCGAGTCTCCGCGCGACCTCCACGCCTCCCCCACCGAGCCTCTGCTTGGCAGCAGCAGATCTTCCGCCTCCGCCTCCGCCTCCGCCTCCTCCTCTCCGCTAGTTAAGAGATCCGCGGCTGCTGCTACTAGCGCTTACGCGCCAATTGAGAACGGCCACGTGGCGGCGACAAGCACGAGCGTGCCAATGAGAGAGGTCCACGTAGATCTGTACATCCGCGGGCGGGGCAAGGGTGGCAAGGGGAAGGGCCCGGCGTGTTCGTTCGCGGCGCAGCTGCTGGGGTGGCACGCGGACCGCCTCGACGTGGCGGCGATTAAGAGGCGACACGGGCTGAAGGCGCTCTTCGCGCTCTCGTCGACAGGAGTGCGCGGGTTAGAGCTGGTTGCGAACCCGCGCAATGGGCTTTCGCTGACGACCTATACCGGCAAGCCCGGCAGCAGAATCACGCTTGATGGGGAGCCGCAGGTGAGTGTGAGAGGGCAGGGGGGTGCGGCGTGCAGGGGAATGGGGGGTGGGGGATGCGGGTGCTGGGGGGTGCTGGCTGGTGCAGGGTAGGACGAAGGCGAGGGGGTGTCCGCGGGTTAGAGCTGGTTGCGAACCCGCGGACGACTTACACAGGCAGACCAGGCAGCGGAATCACGCTCCATGGGGAACCGCAGATGCGCTTGTGAGGGCAGGGGTTGCTAGGGGCGCTGAGGGGTGATGAGGGGTGATGAGGGGTGATGAGGGGTGCTGGGGGGTGCTGGGGGTCGCGCGGGCTAGAGCTGGTGGCGAATCCGCGGAACGGGCTGTCGCTGACGACTTACATGGGGAAGCCTGGCAGCCGAATCATGCTCGACGGGGAACCGCAGGTGGGCGATTGTGATGGCAGGGGGATGGGGAGTTGCTGCGCGGTGCTGCAGATTGCAGGGGGTTGCAAGGGGGTGCGGGGGTGGTGTGAGGGGTGGGACGGAGACGAGGGGGACCGTGGGCTAGAGCTGGCAGGAACACGCGGAACTGGCTGTTGCTGATTACTTACACGGGCAAGCCAAGCAGCAGAATCATGCTCGCTGGGGAACCCCAGGTGGGGATTGCGAGGGCAGGGGGTGGGGGGATGCTGCGGGGTACGAGGGGGTGCAGGGGGGTGGGGGATGCATGCAAGGTTCTGGCGGGTGCTGGGGGATGGGAGGGGATGTGGGGGGGTGCGGAGTGGTATTTGGAGCTGCTGTGGAACCCCAGCAGCGGATTGACTGTTAATGTTGGCTCACACAGGTTGTTGCTGACAACGTAACGTACGCGGGTTTGTGAGCGCATGGGGATGCAGGATGCTGTGCGGTGCAGGGGGGTGCTGTCGGTGCTGCAGGAGGTGGTGCGGGGTGCTGGGGGATGTTGGGGGGTGCTGGGTACAATGAAGATTGTTGCTGCCGACTTATAGGAGTAAGGCGGGCAGCAACATTATGCTTGATGGGGGACCCCAGGTGGGCCTTGGGGTAGTGTGGGGGGATTCTCCTTATTTCTCCCCTCCCCCGTCACTACCCCAAGGGGGTAGTGTGGGGGGAGGGGAGAATAAGGAGAATCCGAGTTAGCCCTTCGTGGAGAGGAGGGGGTGAGGGGAGAGAGGCAAGCCCGAGGTGGATATTTGAGGAGGGGTGATTGAAAGGTGGCCCTGGAGCGAGAAGCAGTAGGTGAGGGGGAGGTGAGTGGGGGAGTCAGGAAGGGCGGAGAGTGTGTAGTTTAGAGGGCTGGCTGCACTGCACTTAGTGCAGAATACGAAAATCGGACGGCTACAGCGGCGTGCAAGGACGGCTGGCAGCAGGAGAGGTGGGTCCGTGGGAGAATGGGATGAGGACAGGAGGGCGCTGCAGCCAAGGAAGAGGTAGGATGATGAAACAGCCTATAAGGGGAAGTTGAGGTGAAGGGAGATGGATGGACTGGACTAGAGATGGCAGATACGTGTTGTATGAATACGTATGAATGGAGAGATGGACTAGATAGAGAGAAGGCCACAGCTTTGGCAAGGCCCTGCCTCCTGCTTCGGCAGCGCGTCAAGCTGCACAAGGGCTTCTCACCTCTCTGTGGGAAGCTTGACCCACAGAGACCCACAAGGACCTTGCACTGCAGCGTCTCCCCTTCCCTCACTCCCAACCACTCCCCCTCTCTTTTGAGGCGCCTCAAAAGCAGCGCGTCAAGCTGCACAAGGGCTTCTCACCTCTCTGTGGGAAGCTTGATCTTGCGCTGCAGCGTCTCCCCTTCCCTCACTCCCAACCTCTTCCCCTCTCCCCCCCCCCCCCGCTCCTCCCTCCCCTCTCCCCGTTTCCCCCCCACACTCCCAACACTTTCCCCTCTCCCCCCCCAACCCTTTCCTCTCTCCCTGTCCTCCCCCGTCCCCCTTCCCCCACTCGCAACCTCTTCACATCTTCCCCTCTTCCCCTCCCCTGCCCACCAGGAGCCTTTCTTATGTCATGGCATCAGGGGGTCTTGTCATCTCCCCCAGTATGCGCGTTTCATTCCCTAACTGCACTCTCCCTTTCTGCCTCTCCCCTCGTCCCCCCTCTCCGATCTGTCTGCACACCAGGAGCCCTTGTTGAGTCCTTTCGTACCAAGGGAAGATCCCCTGGTCTTTCCCTCTTCTCCCTTGGCTTCTCCTTCTCTTCCCCAGCCCTCCCTTTCTCCCTCTCCCTCCGTCTCCCCCTCTTCTCCCCTTTCCCTCACCCTGTCTCCCATCTTCTTAAGTCGTTCCCTCAGTAATAACGAGCGGTTTCCTCTTCCCCCCAGTCTGCTTCTCATCTCCGTCCCCCCTTTCGCAACTCCCAACCTGTTTCTCTGTACCCCTCTCCCCTTTACCCCTCTACACCCTCTTCTCCTCTCCCCACTCCCTCTATCCCCGTGCCATTGTCGCTCCTCTCCTTCCCCCTCCTGCCCACCAGGAGCCCTTCTTGAGTCGTTCCCTCGTGGCAGCAGGGGGTCTGCTCTTCTCTCTTGGTCTGCTGCTCCTCGTCTTCCACGACCCTCACCTTTCCAGCCTGCTTGCATCCTCCCCCCTTCTCACCCCCTTCTCCCCCCGTTCTCCCCCCCCCTATTCTCTCCTTGCCCCCACCAGGAGCCCTGGTTGAGTCGCTCCTTGCTTGCAGCAGGGGGTCTGCTCTTCTCCCTTGGTCTGCTTCTCATTCCTTTCCCCTTTGCTCTCCTGTTTCTCCTCCGCCCCTCATCCTCCCATCTTCTTCCCCACAGGAGCCTTTCTTGAGTCGCTCCTTGGTGGCAGGCAGCAGGGGGTCTGCTCTTTTTTCCTCGGTCTGCTTCTCATTTCCTTACCCTTTGCTCTCCTGTTTCTCCTCCGCCCCTCATCCTCCCATCTTCCACCAGGAGCCTTCTTGAGTCGCTCCTTGCTTGCAGCAGGGGGTCTTCTCTTCTCCCTTGGTCTGCATCTCATCCCTTCCCTTTTTCTCTCCTGTTTCTCCTCCCCCCCTCATCCTCCCTCCCACCTTCCCCACAGGAGCCTTTCTTGAGTCGCTCCCTGGTGGCAGCAGGGGGTCTTCTCTTCTCCCTTGGCCTACTGCTCCTTCTCGTTTCCCACAACCCCCACTTTGCCAGCCTGCTTGCAACGCATAACAATGCCCCATCCTCACCGGTCATGCTCTTTGGTGTAGGGGTTTTTGTGCTTATATTCTGGAAAAAGTTCACTGAATGGTACAAATAGACTGGTTCAACATGTTCTCAAAGTGTAGTGTTAGTGTATATTGTTTGTTCTGTATCCACTCGTCTCTTATTCTGGAAGTCATTCATTCTGTTTTTTTTTTTTTTTTTGTTTTTTTTTTTTGTTTTTTTTTTTTTTTTTTTTTTTTTGCGTCCACCTCTTAAAGCTTTTGTGTACATTTGCAAATAGGATTTTTTAAAATATGAAATCTTTTTGACGGATTCTATTCACAGAATGTACAAACACCAACAGTCCAAATTTATTCAAAAGCTTTAGTCGAGTATGCCTGAACTTGAAAATCTGAACAGCCACCAAATGAACTGTACAACGCGAAATAGATTGGCCAGTGCGAAAAGAAGCGAGAGTGAAATGGGAGTAAGGCGAAAAATTTGTGCGAAAAACCCCTCCCTCAAACGCTACCTCCATGCCGTGAGCGAGCAGCGCTCCTGCTCGACCTCTTCTGCCGAAACCCTAGTTCTCGTGTGCTCTCTCGCCTCCCCTCACAGCCTTTCGGAGTAGTGTCCGTGAGTCGCGATTTCAGATCAAGGACGGTGCGTCTGGGCATTCCGAACTCACGTGCTGACGAAAAGAGCTGAAGCTTTACGAGGTAATTTTTATTATTTTCATGACTGACTAGCTTCCGCGATAAAAGTGTCGATAGTCTGATTTTACGACATGTTTCCGTCTGTTCGCCGTGCTGCTTTTTTTTTCGCGATAAAAATGCTGCTCGTCTTGTTCTCTCTTCGTCCCTTGCACTCACTTATGCATGCTAGTCAACTCCCTGTTCTTGCTCTATCTAGCTATGAGGGAGGGCGGGAAGGACGGTTTGTGTTTGCAATATGTCACCCACGCCGTCGATCTGGTTCAGATGGACGGCTAGTGGAGGGAGCTTTGGACTGTATCGGATGGGAGCTTTGGATCTTATATGGAGGGAGCATTGGACCTTATATGGAGGGAGCATTTGGACCTTATATGGAGGGAGCTTGGACCTTTTATGGAGGGAGCATTGGACCTTATATGGAGGGAGCTTGGATCTTATTTGGAGGGAGCTTAAGGAGGGAGCTATAAGGAGGGGGCCTTCGAGCCGTCTTCCATGCGGTCTGAACCCTTCCTTGCTACTCCCCTTACCGGACGAGCATCTTACTTTCGTTAGCGCAAGATATGCACTAGTAACCGTGTGTCTAGCGTGCGTCTACCAGAGCTTTGGAGCAACGGAAATAGCTCGTGTGTCGTCGGACGTCGTATTGCGTGTGGATCCGTGGCGAAAGCTCGGGTTACTCATACAGGGGTAGCGGCAAGGGGAGAAGCAGCGCGCGTCTGTATCGTAGCGTGTGTCTCGCCTTAAGACCCGAGGTCGTATTATGATCTGAGGCTGTGAGGTTGTAGTGTAAGGGTCTTCTACAAAGATTCGTAGTGTAAGATGTGAAGTATTTGTGAGGATATAAGGGCCTTGTAATAGGATCCGAGGTCGCCAATACGTGTGAGGACGTAGGGGTCTGACTCTACCGGAGATGCGTCGTCCTGCCTTTGCGAAACTTGGGTTTTTCTCGTCCTGTCTTACCCTCTTTCGCCCCTTCTACCGCATGTATCATTCCATTCACTACGAATCAGATTTGACCAGAATCCGTGGGGCTGCCGACGACCGTCGGATCGACCTCGGATGAGCAGCATGAGCGGGCGATCGCACCGCACGGTGTATGTGGGCAACCTGCCCGGCGACACGCGCGAGAGCGAAGTGGAGGACCTTTTCGCCAAGGTGCGGCTTCTTGTGGGGGTAGCCGGATGAACTTGTAGCGGGTTTGCATGGTTACATGATCTGTACACTTTTCTGGGTGCAAATTTGAGGAATTTTTCTTGTCTTTTGATCCTTGTCCTTGTCGTTTGCATCTTCGCAATTTTGTGTTTGCCTCTCGTTGCCTTGTTTGTGCAGTACGGCAAGATTCTCGACATTGAGCTCAAGCTTCCGCCCCGGCCCCCTGGCTTCGCGTTCGTGGAGGTAAGCGGGAGAGGTTCAGTGCGGTTTGCCTCGGTTGTGCTGTGTACCTGAGAGTGGAAGTGTGCAGTACGGCAAGATTCTCGACATTGAGCTCAAGCTCCCCCCCCGGCCCCCTGGCTTCGCGTTCGTGGAGGTGAGCGGGAGAGTCGGTCTGGCTGCCGTTCCCCTCACCTTGTACTTCCCTTTTGAGAGCGGAGTGCATGGGATCGTGGTTGGGATCGTGGTTGGGAGCGGGAGCGGGAGCGGGAGCGGGAGCGGGAGCGGGAGTGGGAGTAGGAGGGGGAGCGGGAGGGGGAGGGGGAGCGGGGAGGGGAGGGGGAGGGGAGGGGAGTGGGAGCGGGAGTAGGAGTGGGAGCAGGAGCGGGAGTGGGAGTGTGAGCATGGGATGAACTGTTCGCGTGTGTAAAGTCAATGAGCGCTCCCCCCCTCCATCCTTCACCCTCTACTTCCCCCCACCTCCCCGCCCGCGCTCTTCTACCTCTTTCCCCTGCTCCCCTCCCCCCTCCCCCCGCCCTTCCCCATCCCTCGCTTTCTTTCCCGCCCCGTGCAACCCTGTCCCCCCTCGTTACCAACTCCTTTCGCCGCACTTCGCCAGTTCGCGGACCCCCGGGACGCGGAGGACGCCATTCGCGGGCGCGACGGGTACGACTTCGACGGGAACCGCCTGCGCGTGGAGCTTTCTTTCCTCCCGACCCCTCTCCCTCCCCCCTTCCCCTCCTACCTCCCCCCTCCCCTTTCTTCTCCTCGCCCTTTGACGGCAACCGCCTGCGCATGGAGCTCGCTTCCTCTTCATCCTCCGCACTCTCTCCTCTCTCCTGTCCCGCATTCCGTTCCCCCAGTTCGCGGACCCCCGGGACGCGGAGGACGCGATTCGCGGGCGGGACGGGTACGACTTTGACGGCAACCGCCTGCGCGTGGAGCTCGCGCACGGCGGGCGCGGAGGGGGCGGCTTCGGGGGGGGGCGGGGGGACTTCCAGCGCGGACCGTCGCGCCGAACAGAGTACCGCGGTGAGTCAGCCAGTCAGTCAGTCAGTCAGCCAGTCAGTCAGTCAGTCAGTCAGTCAGTCAGTCAGTGCACAGGAGAACGGAGATCAGAGTACCGTGGTGAGCTGGTTGTGCGCGGAGGAGGGCTGGGGAGATGGAGTAAGACGGGGAACGGGTACAACATAGACGGCAACCGCCTGCGCGTGGAGCTGGCGCATGGCGGGCGCGGAGGAGGGGGCGGTTCGGGGGGGGCCGGGGGGACTTCCAGCGGGGGCCGTCGCGGCGCACAGAGTACCGCGGTGAGTGAGTGAGTGAGTCAGTGCTTGTAACGCATGCATGTACTGGGCGCATTCGGGGGGGACCGCCGCAGTGAGCTGGTTGTGCGCAGTGAGGTGCCTGTCTGCTTGCGTACCAGAAGGGACGGCAACCGCCCGCCTGCGCGTGGAGCTCGCGCAGGGCGGGCGCGGAGAAGGGGGCGGGTTTGGGGGGCGGGTTCGGGGGGGGGCGCGGGGACTTCCAGCGCGGGCCATCGCGGCGCACATAGTACCGCGGTGAGTCAGGTGGTTGTGCGGAGTGAGATGCTTGCTTGCTTGCGTCCTAAAGGGAGGGGGCCGCCTGCGCGTGGAGCTCACGCACGGCATGCGCGGAGGCGGAGGCGGGGGCGGGTTCGGGGGGGGCCAGGGGGACTTTCAGCGGGGGCCGTCGCGGCGCACAGAGTATCGCGGTGAGCCAGTCAGTCAGTCGGTCAGTGCACAGGAGAAGGGAGATCAGAGTACCGCGGTGAGCTGGTTGTGCGGGGTGAGGTGCTTGCTTGCTTATTGCATTCCCTGTCTTACCCCATCTCCCCAGCCCCCGTTTTCCCCCCCACACCCTCCCCTCACCGCCCCACGTCTCCCCTCCTTCTCTCCTTCTCTGAAGATCTCTCCCTTCCCATTCCCCGCTCGCTCCCCCTCCCTCGCCCTCTCCCCCCCCCATCCCCCCTCTCCCCTTCCATCCCTCTCTGCTTTCTGATTTTGCCAGTGCGACTCTGCATTAGCTTTTGTGAGAAGAAAAGTTAGAAGAGAAGTTGATGGATTGATTGAAAGGATGGGGGGTTTACATAGGAGATGAGTTGGAAACTAGCCTAGGTGAACATTATTGGACCCCAACCAAGGAGTTGGGTTGGGAGATTATTGGTGGGGTCCAATAATGTTGGCCAAGTTGGAGTTGGGCCAACATTATTGGAGGGGACCAATAATTCTACCCATCCCAACCCTTGGGGTCCAATAATTGGACCAAGGTTGGGTTTCCAACCTACAAATTGGGTAACCCCTGCTTGTACACCCAAACTAAGTTTGGGTGCTTATCTCTAGCCTATCCTATAGCATATATGCAGGTTACAAGAGAGGAGATATTCTAACACAACCCCTTAACCTGCAGAGATGCGGAAAGGCTGGAGAGAAGCAACCCCTGAATCAAGGCGCGCCTGGGGGAGCGAGGCCAATGAGGCGGAGGAGAGCAGAGTGCGCGGGGCGAAGAAGTGCTTTGGTGAAGATATCCGCCAAATTGGCTTCAGTGGCGATCTTGCGGACGGCGATAAGATTCTGTCGGACGAGGTCGCGGATGAAGAAATAACGGAGCTCGATATGCTTGGAGCGACCATGAAAGACTGGATCCTGGGTGAGGTGGATGGTGCTGGCGTTGTCACACCAGAGCGTGGGACAGCGCTGGGGGGCACCAAGCTCTGCCAGAAGAAAGCAGAGCCAGCGGGACTCTTGAGCGGCCATGGTGCCCGCATAGAGCTCAGCTTCGCAGGAAGAGAGAGCGATGGCTGAGGAGCGGGTGGAACGCCAGCTGATAAGTCCGCTGCCGAGGGTAAAGCCATAGCCTTGGGAGGAGCGGCGGTCTGGCTGATTGTCTGCCCAGGAGGAGTCACTGAAGCCCGAGAGAAGGGGAGGGGAGGATCCACCCAGTGTGAGAGCGTGATCCTTGGTGCCGCAGAGATAGCGAAGGACCCGCTTGGCGGCAGCCCAGTGTTCCTCAGTGTGACGGCCAGAGCCGACGAACCGAGCAAGGACGCTGACGGGGTAGGCGAGGTCGGGGCGGGTGCACATCATCGCGTACATCAGCGACCCAACGAGCTCGGCGTAGGGCCGGGAGGAGGAGGAGGGGGAGGTGGGTGGCGCAAGTTGGTGACCGAAGGGGAGGGGGGTGGAGACTGGTTTGGCCTGCGCCATCTCAAACCTCTCCAGGACCTGGCCGATGTAGTGGGACTGGGAGAGAGTGATGGTGCGGGCGGATCGATCACGGGTGATAGCCATGCCGAGGTAGTTCTGGAGGGGACCAAGGTCCTTGCACTTGAGTCGTTCCTGAAGTGACCGCTTCATCTGGTCCATGTCGGCCCTGGAATCCGCCAGCAGGATCATGTCGTCAACGTAGACCGAGATGAAAAAGCGACTGGGGGAAGAGCGGATGAAGAGGCTGGCGTCGGAGTGGGAGGGGGAGAAGCCAAGGGACTGGAGAGTAGCAGACAGCTTCGCATGCCATTCTCGTGGTGCCTGCTTCAGGCCGTAGACCGGTCGCTTCAGCTGCCAGACGGTGTTGTCGGGGAACGTAGCATGGAACCCGGGAGGTCGGCGGAGAAAGATGCGTTCGTGCAGTTCACCTTGCAGGAAAGCGTTGGAGACGTCCATGGAGTCAATCTCCATGTCGTCTCTTGCACCGATGTCAAGAAGGGTGCGTAGGGTGGCCTGCTTGACGGTGGGGGCGAACGTGAACCAGTAGTCCTCAGCCCAGGTCTGGGTGAACCCCTTGGCAACGTAGCGGGCTTTGTAGACTGGTTCTTCTCCCGGCAGCTGCTTGACTCGAAAGATCCACTTGCCCTCAACCAGGTTGGCGTCAGGAGGGAGGGGAACGTCAATGAAGGAGTTATTGTGGATGAATGCTTCACATTCCTGAAAGATGGCGGCTATCCACTTATCGGCGTCAGGGCAGGTGATAGCCTCTTGGAAAGTGGAGGGGACGAAGATGGTGGGAGCGGGGATCGCGCTAAGGAGTAGGGCGCCGAGGAGGTCAGGGGAAAGTACTGTGAGAGAGGGAGTGTGGCGCCGGACCATGGTGAACTCCTCATGGGAGTCCTCCAGTTGGTTGAGGGAGGGAGGAGACGGTGCACCAAGGATGGGGTCAAGGGAGCGGGTGTGCATGCGAGGGAGGAGGAAGGGTGAGGAGCGGGCAATTGCCCTGCGCCGCTGCTGCTGCTGGTGCTGCTGGAACCCCTGCTGCTGCTGCGGCTGCTGTTGCTGTTGTGGCTGCTGCGGCTGCTGCTGCTGCCGCTGCTGGTGCTGCCCTTGCTGCTGCTGCGGCTGCTGCTGCTGTTGCTGCTGCTGCTGCTGCGGCTGCTGCTGCTGTTGCTGCTGCTGCTGCTGCTGCTGCTGCTGCTGCTGCTGCTGCTGCTGCTGCTGCTGCTGCTGCTGCTGCTGCTGCTGCTGTTGCTGCTGCTGCTGCAGCTGCTGCTGCTGCCCCTGCTGCCGCTGCTGCTGCTGCTGCTGCTGCTGCTGCTGTTGCTGCTGCTGCTGCTGCTGCTGCTGCTGCTGCTGCTGCTGTGATGGATGAGGAGGGGAGTGGGAAGGGGAGGGGGGAGGGGGGGCCGTGGAGTGTGCGGGGGAGGCAGGAGCAGTGGGATCGTAGACGTCGGCGGATGAAGGTGGCGGAAGCGGGGTGGGGAGGGGTGGGAGAAGAGGTGCCGGAGGGAGGAGGGGAGGGAGGACGGTGTCGGCCCAAGCGAGAGGACGTGTGGGAGGAGGGAGGGGGTCCGGTGGTGGGGAGGAGTAGTACAGGGTGGTCTCATCGAACACAACGTCAATGCTGCGGATGAGGCGACCAGAGGGAGGGTGAAGGAAGAGGTAACCAGGCGAGTCGCGGTTGTGTCCGAGGTAGACACACTCGAGGGCGCGAGGAGCGAGCTTGCCTTGGGTGCGGTCGGGTGGAGGAATAAGCACATATGCCTTGCAACCCCAGACACGGAGACCGGCAGCGTCAGGTTTGGTTCCTGACCAGAGCTCCGTGGGGGTAGCGGCAGTGTGTTGGGGATGGGAGTGAAGGTTGAGGAGGAGGGCAGCATGGAGGAGGGCATAGCCCCAGAGAGAGGGAGGGGTGGAGGCGTGAGCAAGGAGACAGCGGGCGATCTTAGTGATTTCGCGAATGCGGCTTTCTGCAACGCCGTTCTGCTGTGGGGAGTGGGGAAGAGTGTGGGTCTGTTGGATGCCATGGGTGGCGCAGTAGTGAGAGAGAGTGCGGTTGAGGAATTCGCCTCCCCCATCAGAGTGGAGGCGGCCGATGGGACGTTTGAAGTGGGTGCGGCATTGCTCTGCCCAGTTAATGATAATGGTCGGCGCCTGGTCTTTGGTGTGGAGGAGGAAAATGGAGGAGTAGCGGCTGTGATCGTCAACAAGAACCAACATGTAGCGATGGCCTTGGCGTGAGCGGGTGGGAGAGGGCCCCCAGAGGTCCATATGGACAAGGTCAATGGGTGCAGGAGCGAAGGATGGGTGGCTGTGGTGAGGAGATTGTTTGAGTTTGCCGTGGATGCAGGAGGGGCATGGGGGGCTGGGGAGGAGGGAAGGGGAGGAAGAGTTGGAGGGAGGTTGTGGAGAAGTCGTGAGGTGACGGCAGTGCGGAGAGCGGCAAAATTCGGATGGCCGAGTCGGTGATGTAGGAGAACAGCGGGGTGGGAGAGATGGTCGGAGGTGGAGGGGATTGGAATGAGTGAGGAAGGGATGGAGGAGTGGGGAGGAGACGGAGTGGGAGGAGAGGGAGGGAGATGGGGAGGGCTGGTGGAGGTACCCGCACGAGTGGTAACATGGCAGGAGGATGGCCACGGAGTGCGGAGAGTGTAGAGGCGAGTGCGAGGGCAGAGGGGTATGCGGAGGAGGAAGCGGCCGGAGGCAGTGTGGTAAAGGTCACAGTAGGTGGCATTACTTGGATAGACGACAGTGATACCTGCACCTTGGATTTCACGGTGGGAGAGGAGGTTGTTTCGGAGAGTGGGGATGTGGAGACCAGTTACCTTGCCAGAGGGGAAGAGTGAACAGGGGAGAGTGGAGAGGTGTGTGCATGGGATGGTGAAGCTGCTGTCAGCACCGTGAACTTGAGTGGGAGGGGAGAGGGGTGTGAGTGTACCAGCGTCTTTGAGGGCGGTCTCAGTGGCCCCACTGTCAAGGACAAAGTCCAGAGTGGGTGAGGAGGAGGAGGAAGACACTGAGTACTGGAAAGTGGTTTCATTAATGTTGGATGGGTACATGGAAGGAAGAGAGGGCGAAATAGCTATGTTGCCAAGGAAGCTCTCGTGAGTGAGAGGGGTGGCAGTGCTACTGGGGGGGGGTGGGGCACCCCAAAGGGGGGCAGGTGAGGCTTGAGCGGCCATGGCTGCTGTGCCAAAGTTCAACTGCTGCTGCGGCCAGGGAGGAGGGCTGGGTCCCCACTGTGGCTGGGGTCCTGACCCCCATGGGTGCTGCGGCGGCTGTGGCTGCTGCTGCTGCTGCGGCTGAGGGTGAAACAGCTGCTGTAACTGCTGCTGCTGCTGCTGCTGCTGGAGGTGCTGCTGCTGGAGGTTGAGGAAGGGTGTGGGGGGAGCAAGGAGGCGGAGGTGGGCTGGGAGGTAGGCTGGATTGGTTTGGATATCGGTGGGGGAGGGGCGTGGGGAGATGTTGCCCCACTTTGGAGGAGTGCCAACGTTACCCCGCGCGTACCAGGCATCGTCGAGAGCCTTGAAGCACGTGCCAGGGGGATGGTTGGTCGGAGTTCCAGCCCGAGGACCATAGCGGCGGACATAGGTGCAGGGAGGAAGCGTGCCAGGGCGACTCCCGCGACTTGCAGTGGGTCCACCCGAAGTGGTGGTGCCGTGCTCATCCCCAGTGGTGCCACCACGGTTGTTGCTGCTTCCCGAACCACCACCTCCCTTGCCCCCACCTCCTCCTTTGCCGTTGTTCTTTCCCTGCTTGCGAGGCTGGGTAGCGTTGAGGGAGGAGGAGGTGGGTTGGGAGGAGGCGAGGTTGACGATGGGTGTACGGAGTTTAACTTCGGTGTCGATAATCCACTGTTCAACGGAGGCGAGACCGGCCATGGGATTGGCTTCGGTAAAGGCGTGGAGGCGGGATTCGTAGTCTGGGGTGAGGTTAAAGAGGAGGCGGTGGATTTGAAGAGGTTCGGAGAGGCCGGCCTGGCGGGCTTCGAGGCGATCAGCTACCTCGCGCATGCGTCCGACGTAGTCGACTGCTCCGTCACAGGTGGCGAGGGTGATGGAAAAATACTCTTGGAAGAGGATGCCGACGGAGCTGATGTCGCGGCGCTCAAACATGGCATGGAGTTCTGCCCAGATGACCGAGGCACGGAGTTCCCGAGCCTGGAAGCGACGCATGAGGGAGTCAGGGAGAGCTCCAAGGAGAACGGTGCAGGCACGGGTGTCAGCAGCTGTCCAGGCGATGAGTCTGGGGGTGAAGTCAGCCATGTCGACCTTGTATTTGGCGACGACCTCGAGGTGAGCGTCGCGACCAGCAACCGCCTGATCATAGGCCTCAACTGCAGCATCGTACTCGGCTTTGCGGATGAGGTATTCACGGCGGCGTAGGATAAAATCAGTGTCCGCAGTGGCTTGGTCGGGGGTGATCTGAAGATCGGGTTCACGAGGAGGGTCGCCAGGAGTAGGAGGAAGGGGAGGAGTCTCGCCGGGGTGGGGAGGTTCGGTGGGGGGGAGGGCATGGGGGCGGCGGAGGATGACGTCAAGGACACGGTAGGGGGGAACCCATGCGTCGGAGAGAACGCGTCGGATGCTGCCGACGAAGGAGTGCCAGTTGACTGCGGACTTGTCCGCGGCGAGCTGGAGCTTATCAATGGAGGACGTGTCAATAGGGGGAGGAAGTGGGGAGGGGGAGGGTGTAGGAGTAGCCATGATGGACGGCTGCAGGTGGACCCGCAGTGGTCACGGAGGAGCAACGGCGACGAGGCCGCGGGGGGGGGGGGGGGGGGAGGGGAGTGGCGCGGGCAGCAGCGGCTGGCGAGGCCGCGGCGGTTGGCGCGGAGGCGGCGTTGAAGCCGCGGAGGGGCGCGGACGGCGGCGGCTGGCGAGGCCGCGGCGGTGCTGGCGGGGAGCGGGAGGCGGCGTCGAGGCCGCTGGAGGGGAAGGCGCGGGCGGCGGCTGGCGAGGCCGCGGCGGCTGGCGCGGAGGCGGCGACGAGGCCGCGGAGAGGCGCGGGCGGCGGCTGGCGAGGCCGCGGCGGCTGGCGCGGAGGCGGCGACGAGGCCGCGGAGAGGCGCGGGCGGCGGCTGGCGAGGCCGCGGCGGCTGGCGCGGAGGCGGCGACGAGGCCACGGAGAGGCGCGGGCGGCGGCGGTTGGCGAAGCCGCGGCAGTGCCGGCGCGGAAGCGGCGACGGAGTCGCGGGAGGGAGCGGCGCGAGCGGCGGCGGCTGGCGAAGCCGCGGCAGTGCAGGCGCGGAGGCGGCGACGAGGCCGCGAGAGGGAGCGGCGCGAGCTGCGGCGCTGGCGAGGCCGCGGCAGTGCAGGCGCGGAAGCGGCGACAAGGCCGCGGGAGGGAGCGGCGCGAGCGGCGGCGGCTGGCGAAGCCGCGGCAGTGCAGGCGCGGAAGCGGCGACGGGGTCGCGGGAGGGAGCGGCGCGAGCGGCGGCGGCTGGCGAAGCCGCGGGAGTGCTGGCGCGGAAGCGACGACGGGGTCGCGGGAGGGAGCGGCGCGAGCGGCGGCGGCTGGCGAAGCCGCGGCAGTGCAGGCGCGGAGGCGGCGTCGAGGCTGCGGAAGGGAGCGGCGGCGGCGACGGCGGCCGCAGTGGCGTTGGCGCGGAGGCGGCGTCGAGGCCGCGGGATGGGGCGGGCGGTGGCGGTCGGCGGGACCGCGACAAGGCGAGCGCGGAAGCGGCGGTGGGGCCGCGAGCCGTGATGGCGTGGGAGGCCGTGGGGCTGCGAGGAAGGGAGTGCTTGAGGAGAGGGGGAGGGTGGCGAGATAGCCGCGGAGAATTGAGAAAGGAGGCCGGGGGTTGCGGCGGCCTTTGAAAAAAAACTAGGAGCGTAGGCCTAGGATTTTTAAGAGCTCTATACCATGTGAGAAGAAAAGTTAGAAGAGAAGTTGATGGATTGATTGAAAGGATGGGGGGTTTACATAGGAGATGAGTTGGAAACTAGCCTAGGTGAACATTATTGGACCCCAACCAAGGAGTTGGGTTGGGAGATTATTGGTGGGGTCCAATAATGTTGGCCAAGTTGGAGTTGGGCCAACATTATTGGAGGGGACCAATAATTCTACCCATCCCAACCCTTGGGGTCCAATAATTGGACCAAGGTTGGGTTTCCAACCTACAAATTGGGTAACCCCTGCTTGTACACCCAAACTAAGTTTGGGTGCTTATCTCTAGCCTATCCTATAGCATATATGCAGGTTACAAGAGAGGAGATATTCTAACAGCTTTTGTGACTTCACCCCACTGATATCTCTTGAATTTATGCTGAATGGGTTAGCTTGCGCATTCTTTTCGCCATCTTGAGTTCCTTTACTGTGCTTGTTTGGTTGCAGCTCGTGGTTATAACGGGTGCTTGTAACGAATGCCTGTGTTGTGCTTGCTTGTGTATTGTCTCCTCGCTGCAGTCATTGTGAAGAATCTCCCTACCTCCGCTTCCTGGCAAGATCTCAAGGTGGGCGCTCGCACCTCCTCTCATGCACTCGCATTCCCTCACATCCCCTTAGATCCCCTCGCACCTCCCGCATGCCCTCGCATGCCCTCGCATTCTCTCACATTCCCTTGCACCCCCTCGCATGCCCTCGCATCCCCTCACATCCCTCACAATCCCTCACATCCCCTCACGTCCCCTCGCATGCCCTTGCATTCCCTCGCATCCCCTCGCTTACCTTCACCCCCTTGCACGCCCTTGCACTCCTCTCCTGTGTCGCTCACCCGTCCCCTCCCCAATGTTGCACTACCCGTCTCTACTGTCTCCTTTTGAGTCAACTAAAAAATGCTGTCTCAACTTCCTCTCTCGCCCTTTTGCAATCTTTCTGCCCCTCGTCCGCCTGTCCCTTTGTGCATCAACTGAAATGATGCCTTTCCTGCTTATTGCAATCCCGCGTTTCTCCTCCTTTATTCTCGCCATTCTCCCCCTCCCCTCCCCCCACCCCTCCTCCATCGTTTCCCCCCTCTCGTGCCTTCCTCACTACCCCCCCCCCCCCCCCCCCTCCCCCCCCCCCCCCCCCTCCCCCCCCACCCCCCCCACCCCACCCCACCCCACCCCTCCCCCCCTCTTCCCCCTCTCCCTGGTGTCTGGTGCGCAGGACCACATGCGGCGGGCAGGCGACGTGTGCTTCGCGCAGGTCTTCAAGGAGAGGGACGGTAAGCATGGATGGGAAACGGTACATATGGGTGGGCAACGGTACATATGGGTGGGCAACGGTGGGTCAACATGTTGGGGTGAAGGGGGAAAGGGTGGATGTTGGGTGAAGGTGGAAAGGGTGGATGTTGGGTGAAAGGGGGGAAGGGTGGAAGGGTGGATGTTGAGACGAATCACCATGCCTCGCTTTCACCCTTGCATCCCTCCTACCCCCCCTCCCCCCCTTCCTCCGTTCCTCCTCCCATCTGCCCCTTCCTCCGTTTCTCCCTCACTCCTTTCTTTCCCCCCCACACAGGCGTGATGGCATAGTGGAGACAACAAGGAGTGCGTGGGGTGAAGAATGAAGCCTCGCATTTACCCTTGCATTGCATCCGTCCCTCCGTTCCTCCCTTTTTCTTTCCCTCCCTCCCTCCCTTTGTCTTTCCCTCCCTCCTTGTTCCCCCCACAGGCATGATGGGCATAGTGGATTACAGCAACGAGGAGGACATGAAGTATGCGGTGAGTTAGGCGAATGGATGGGTCCAGTGCGGTGAGTGGGGCAGCTGGGTGAATGGGGGTGCTGGGTGAGTCGGGGAGCTGTGTGGGTGGGGACTGAGTGGGCAGGTGTGACCAAAACGGAAGCCTGGTTGGTAAGGGTACGTGACCAAATTCACGAATGCATCTGCCGCCGCACTCCACTCCCTCCAACCATCTCTCACCGTTCAGTACCGCTTCCTCCTCCCCCAACCCACCCGCACACGGACCTACTCAATGCAGCAAACCCGGCAGCTTGATGACTTCGAAACCCAAGTTGGACACCAATTTTGGAAACCAAATTTGAAAACCATATTTGGGAAAGTGGAGAGCATCATGGCTGGTGGATATACCACAAAACCAGCCTTGACACTCGCATTCATGGTCCTTCCTCCGCTCTCCCCTCTCCCTCTCCCCTTCCCCTGGCTGTCCCCTCTTCCCCCCGGCGCTCTCCCCTCTCTCTCCCCCCTCCGCCCTCCCCCTCGCTCCTCCTCCGTTTCCCTGACCTCCCCCCGCCACATCAGGTGCGCAAGCTAGATGACTCCGAGTTCAAGGACCCTTTTTCCTGTGTAAGCCCCTTTTTTTTCCCCGCCCTCCCCGCTGCTCCTTACCCACCCTCCCCCTCACCAGGTGCGCAAGCTAGGCGACTCGGTCGGAGTTCAAAAACCCTTTCTCCCCCGCCCTCCCCCCCCCCCCCCCCCCCCCCCCCCCCCCCCCCCCTCCTCCCACCCCTTTCCCACCCCTCCTCGCCACGCCAGGTGCGCAAGCTAGACGGCTCAGAGTTCAAGAGCGAGGTTAATTCTGAGTCGACTCAAAAACCTTACCTTTTTACCTCCCCCGTCTGTACCTCCACCCGTCTGTACCTCCCCCTGGCCCTCCAACACCAGGTGCGCAAGCTAGACGACTCTGAGTTCATTACCCCACCCACCCACCCCCCCTTCCCACGCCTTTCACCCCTTCCCCCCCCCGGTTCCTCCCCCCACCAGGTGCGCAAGCTAGACGACTCGGAGTTCAAGAACCCTTTTTCTCCCCATGCCCTCCTAACCCCCCCCCCCCCCCCCCCCCCCCCTCTTCCACCACCACCCCTTCCCACCCACCCTCCCCACGCCAGGTGCGCAAGCTTGACGGCTCGGAGTTCAAGAACCCTCTTTTCCGCAGCTGCTTTTGAGTCGACTCAAAAGTCATCCTCCCCCGTCCTTTCTCCCCGTATCCCCCCCCCCCCCCCCCCCCCCTGTCCCTCCCCCCTTACCTCCCCTCCGTTCCTCCTCACGCCAGGTGCGCAAGTTAGACGACTCTGAGTTCAAGAACCCTTTTTCCCGCGGCTGCTACATTCGAGTGAGTCTCGAATCCGCTCCCACTCCTTTCCAGCTCCTTTTGTAAACCCTGCGAGGTGCTCGAGGTGGAGTTGAAGGAACCTCTAGGGAACCTTCAACACCCACATCTATTCAGTTCAGCCCCCCACCTGCGTTCAGAGCACCTGCAGTTCCGAAGCTGCATTCGCACCACGTCAATGTGCATGTTATGCGGTTTGATTTGAGTGAATACTCCATCTAGACGACCTCGTTTAGTCAAGCCCCGTATGTCACGCGAATGCTCGCCAACCCATTTGCACCGTACTGCCCCCTTCTCGTCCTCCTGCCTGTCCCCGTGCCTCACCCTTCGACCTCCCACCCAGAGACTCTTTGGTGCCTTAAGATACGTCACGATACAAACAGACCAACACATATTTATTCTCTGTAATTCCTAATATGCTGCACCTTTCGTGCCTCTCTCGCATGCCTGGTCCCATCAGGTGCGTGAGGAGAGCAAGACGGGTCGCGACCTCAGCAGGTCACCTCGTCCTCTTTTTCACCTTATCTTCTATACCTCTCTTTCCACCTTTTCGCCCTTTCCCGCACGCCTAATCGCATCAGGTGCGTGAGGAGAGCAAGACGGGTCGCGACCGCAGCAGGTCACCTCGTCGCCGCGAGCGGTCCCGTTCCCGTTCACGCTCGCGCTCTGCCTCGGGTTCGCGCTCTCGATCCCGCTCCAAGTCCAAATCGCGCTCGCGATCGGTATGTTAAGATGAGAGAGGTGCGCCTGTAGAGTCGTGTGCCTATAGAGAGGTGCTCCTCGCTCCTGATTTCACTCAAGTACAAGTTCGCACTCTCGCTCTGCCTCGGGTTCACGCTCCCGCTCGCGCTCCAAGTCCAAGTCACGCTCGCGCTCGGTATGTTAATATCACAGAGGCGTGTGTATTGAGAGGTGCTCCTTAGGTCTTGATTCCACTCCCGTTCCCGCTCTGCCTCGGGTTCGCTCTCCCCATCCCGCTCCAAGTCCAAGTCGCGCTCACGCTCGGTACGTGAAGTCACATGTAACATTGTCAGCTCGTTGGGCTCTTGCGCTCCCGCTCTGCCTCGGGTTCGCGCTCGCGGTCTCGCTCCAAGTCCAAGTCGCGCTCGCGATCGGTACGTTAAAATCAAAAGCTTGGCTACAGAGAGGTGTTTCTTGCTCCTGATTCCACTCCCGCTCTGCCTCGGGTTCGCGCTCTCGATCGCACTCCAAGTCCAAGTCTCGCTCCCGCTCAATACGTTAAGTCACATGTCAGTCGCCTCGTCACTGCGAGCGATCCCGCTCCCATTCATGCTCACGCTCTCGCGTTGTGCGCGCTCCCGCTCTGCCTCGGGTTCACGCTCCCGATCGCGCTCCAAGTCCAAATCACGCTCGCAATCGGTACGTCAAATCGCATGTCTCCTCGTCGCCGCATGTGATCCCCCTCCCGTTCATGCTCTTGCTCTCGCTTGCACTCCCGCCCTGCCTTGGAATCCCGCCCTTGATCACGCTCCTAGTCCAAGTCGCGCGCTCGCGATCGGTACGTTAACATAAAAGGTGTGGTTATAGAGAGGTGCTCCTTGCTCCTGATTTCGCTCCCGCTCTGCCTTGGATCCCATGTTGCTGCTCTCGCTCCACTTTCGCGTGCCTCTCTCCCACGCCCGCTCACCGTCAGTACGGCACATCACAGAGAGGCCTCAAGTCTCCCTCTCTTGCTGTCATCCATTCTCAACCACACTACACCAATACCCCCTCCTCCCTCATCTCCTCGCCCCCTCTCTCCCCATTTACTCCCCGAATTAAATGCCCCTGGTCTCTTCCCCCCCCGTGCAGCCGAAGAAGAGTGGCTCCAAGTCTCCCTCTCGCTCGCGCTCTCGATCCAAGTCCCCTGCCAAGTCCCCCGAGCGCGCTCGCTCTCCTGTGAGCTCTCTTTCCCCTCCCTTGCCGTGCTCTGCTTGATTCCCCTCTTGATCCGAGTCTCTCTCTCTCCCGCTCTCGATCCAAGTCCCCTGCCAAGTCCCCCGAGCGTGCTCGCTCTCCTGTGAGAATTCGCCCCCTCCTTTCACTCTCTCTCCCCCCCCTCGTCCCTCCCCCTCCACCCTCCTCCCCTCTCCTCCCCCCTCCCCTCTCCCCATTCGCTCCTTCACGCCCCGTTTATTCGATCCCACCGTTTCTCCTCCTGCAAATGGTCCATCCATTGTTGATGTGTATATCCATGACACTAGTGATTACTTTGATGCCTAGACATGCACATTCGTAGCTTTCCTGATCATAAATGCTGAAATCACTTGTGAGAATTCTCAAAAAGTGGGCTTTCCTTGCATGTTTACATTGAATGATCCACTCCCTCACCCCTCGTTCATCCCTCACCCCTTCATGCATCCTTCACCCCTCATGCATCCCTTGCCTCTTATCTTTCTTTCAGGCTGGCAGTGATGGCAAGGCAGCGTCGGGTTGAGTGATTCCACTTGTGAATGCTGGACGGACATCATTCAGCCCGCGTGGTTGAGTGTGACGAGTTTCAGAGTGCTGAGCAGACTACTGCGTTTAAACTTCTGGAAGAACGTGCATTTCTGGGAGCTTGGGATGAAGTTGATCCTACATTTCTTGCTGGACCTGATTTTGGAAATTTGTTTGTAATGTTGGTACAATATCACTAGCGCAGCTTTTGAGTATCAAACACAGAAAGACAATGTTAGGCAGGACTCCCTCAAATGGTACAAAGCTGCACCTCTGGACAAGGCAGGGCAGGGGAGAAAAGAATGGTGAGAGGGGGCAAAAAAGTGGAGTGACAAACCTTAGGCGCTGAGGGTTCCTTGCTTCACTGGGGCGATGGCACCTGACAAGTCAGATTCTAAACAGGGAACGTAAAAAGAGCTTCATGAGGTGCTGCGACACTTCATATGGTAAGAAGTCGGCGTATTCCTACGGCCTCCTATCAAGAAACCTCCTATCAAGAATGCACATTTTGCCTGGTGAAAGTAGCGAGAGATTTTGGGTTTAGGGAATTTTTCAGTGTGAGCTTGATAAGAGGTTTTCTTGATAGGAGGATAGGAATACGCCCTAATACACTGTGTAGCAGCAGCTTGCAAAAGACGTGCATCGCCGATGCCGGGGATCGAACCCGGATCTTCCGCGTGACAGGCGGAGATACTGACCATTATACTACATCGACACGTTGTTCAATTTGTTTTAGTTTTAAGGTCTTTTTGACCTACCTCATAGTGGACGCTTCAAACCTGTTGCCAACGGTGCGTTTTTGCCGTCAACTGCACGATTTCGACGTATCCTCTCAAAGCCCGACCTTGACGAAGCGCTTATGGCGTTTCCTCAACGATCAGAATCAAATCGACTGATGCGGGAGAACTCGGCTTGAGGGAAGGCGGGTGTCGTGAATCCTGTGACGTGCATTAATCCCATGCCGTGCTGAGACTCGACCACCTTGCCTGTCCTCTTTGCATCATCCCAGGTCGGTAGGATGTTCAAGTCTCTCCCATTGTCACGTCACAACTCCCCTCCTCCCTCCTCCCTCCTCCCTCCTCCCTCCTCCCTCCTCCCTCCTCCCTCCTCCCTCCTCCCTCCTCCCTCCTCCCTGCTCTTTGCTCGCTGCTGCCTGCTGCCTCCTCCCTCCTCCTTCCTCCCTGCTCCCTGCTCCTCAGTTGGACTGCTTATCTGCCGCTCACTTGCCCTTTGTGTCAGATAGCCATACCACACTTCAATGAAACCACACCAGGCAGGAACCGCCACACCACACTCCACTAAAGTGTTTTGAGTCGACTTAAAACGCCGCTCACATGCCTCTTGTGTAAAAGCCATACCCCACTCTAATGAAACCACACCAGGCACACCATACTTACCTAAAGTGTAGCTGGAAACATAAGGGTAACGTGATTGACCTTAGAGCGAGCGCGCCTTTCGCCATTAGGTTTTGTTGAGCCAGGGAGAGCTTGAACGCCTTTTGGTATCTGAACGTTCTGTGCGGTGCAATGCGGTTCAGACGACCTCAGCAACGGTGGATTACAGCACAGTGCGGTGGGGCCATACAGAGACATGGATGGATGGAGCCATACGCCCAGCCATGCATGCATACGCCCAGCCATGCATGCATACGCCCAGCCATGCATGCATACGCCCAGCCATGCATGCATACGCCCAGCCAAACACGCATACATGCGTGGCTTTCCTTCCCTTCTCATCACCCTGCCTCCCCTTCCCACCCCCCCTTCCGTAACCCCGTTCAGCATGGACCATGTGTTCTGCCTCTTCTGCCATATGACGCTGCCATGCTTACACCCTACCACCTCTCCATCTTCCCCTTCCCCACTCCTCCCCACTTCCCACTCCTCCCCCACTTCCTCTTCCCCCATCAGCATAGGCCACGTGTTCTGCCTCTGCTGCGTGCACTGCGCCATGTCATGTGCTGCTGCCATGCTTACTTTTGAGTCGACGCAAAACGAGGTGCACTGCGCCATGCTCCTCATCTCATGCTGCATGCACTGCGCCATGCTCCTCGTCTTGTTCTGCGTGCACCATGCCATGTCATGTGCCGCTGCCATGCTTGCTTCCCACCCGCTTCTCCATCTTCCCCTTCCCAACCCCTCCCCACTTCCCACCTCTCCCCCACTTCCCCTTCCCCTCCCAGCGGGCGCCCACGTGTTCTGCCTCTGCTGCATGCACCGCGCCATGCCATGTGCCGCTGCCATGGGCCCGCGTGGTGTCTGTTTCTGCTGCGTCCACCGCACCATGACGCCCTACAGCGACAGCCCTGCCCTGCCAAGCTGTCCAAGCCGTCTCTCCCTACTCTTCCCCCCTTCCCGCCTCTCCCGCTTTCCCCCCGCCCCCCTTCCCCCCTCAGCGTGCGGCCACGTGTTGTGTTTCTGCTGCATGCACCGCGCCATGACGCCCTACAGCAAGCTGCTGAGAGCCACTGAGAGCCGCTGCCCTATTTGTCTTCGCGCCTTCGCCGCACATCTCTTCCCCACGCCCTTCTAGCCCCCTGCCGGCCCACCAACCTTCCCCGGGGTCTGCTTGTTGCCTGCTGCACCGCTTCCTCTCTGCTGCCATCCCCGCCGACTGCCGCGCGCTTCCCTTCCCTGCACGCTTCTCTCCTCCCGCACGCCCCACGACCTTTCCCGGGGTCTGCTTGTTGCCTGCTGCACCGCTTCCTCGCCGCCATATGGAACTTCCTCTCCGCCTACCGTGCAAGCTCCAGGGATGTGCTACAGGAGGAGAGGGCCGTGGGGATATTCTCGCCCTCCTTGCCCTCCGCTCTTGAGGCAGAGCTGGTTGTGGAGGGGGTTGGCGGTGCAGTTCGCCTCAGGGACGTGCTACAGGAGGAGAGGGCTATAGGGGCGCATTCTCGCCCTCCTTGCCTTCCGCCCTTGAGGCAGAGCTGGTTGTGCTGAGGAATGGTGGTGCAGCTCGGCAGAGAGGATGGTGGTGGTGCAGATGGTCCCAGAAAGGGGGTGGAGGAGGGGGGTTGAAAAGAGGGAAGAGGCAATTAGAGGAGGAAAGCTGGAAAAGGCGAGTGGGGTAGGGTACAGGAGGGCGGTTGAGTGCAGAGGAAGTGTTTCTGTGGACTGGCAGCAAGAGTTGTCTTGTTGTGGACGGGGAAGTGGGTGAGGGTACAGGAGAGCGGTTGAGTGCAGAGGAGGGGGCATTTCTGGCGTTCTGGCAGCAGCAGTTCTCATGTGGGGTGTGCCGCTTGCTGCTGCTGCATCCGGTGGTGCTCAACTGCGGTTATGGTGGGTTCAGTGCGGTGATTGTGTGCCTCCTCCTCCTCATCCTCCTCTTCCTCTTGTTGCTGCTGCTTTTGCTGGTGTTTCTGATGCCGCTGCAAATGGTGGTGGTGGTGATAAATGGTGGTGGTCCCACTGGTGCTGCTGCTGCCAGCACTGCTGTGGGAGTGGCAGGGAGGGACAGCAGGAGCTGTGTGCAGTGTGGGGCGGTGCAGCCAACGAGGCGAGTGGAGCCATGTGTGCCGCTGCACGCCGCCCTCTCCGCGCTCTTCCCTGCCGCCCTGCAAAATCACAAACAGCAGAATTGTGAACAGGAGAGGCGAGCAGGAGAGGCAACAGCAGGAGAGGGGAAGATGGGAAAGGGCGGCTCAGAATGCCTCGATGAGAGAGGAGAGTGAGGTTGATGGGGTTCGTGGAGAGATGGTGCAGAGGCGTTTTTTGAGGCGCCTCAAAAAGAGGGGAAGATGGGAAAGGACAGCTCATAATGCCTCGATGAGAGAGGGGAGTGAGGTTGATGGGGTTCGTGGAGAGATGGTGCTGAGGAGGGGTGAGGATGAGAGGGGTGCGAGGGGTGGGATGGTTGGTGCTGGGCGCGCGGGAAGCACTGAGCATGCTTTTGAGGCGCCTCAAAAGAGAGATGGTGCTGAGGAGGGGTGAGGATGAGAGGGGTGCGAGGGGTGGGATGGTGGGTGCTGGGCGCATGGGAAGCAGTGAGCATGCGAGACAAGGGAGGGAAGGCTGGAGGGAGGACGAGGAGGGAGGAGGTGAAGGAAGAGAAAGAAGAAAGAGCAGGGAGAAGAGGGGGAGGCTGCTATCAGCTGGTTCCGGTGCAGAGGAAGGTGTGAGGGAGGAGGGTGTGAGAGAGGAAGGTGTGAGGGAGGTGGGTGTGAGAGAGGAAGGTGTGAGGGAGGTGGGTAGGTAGGAGGGACTGGGTGGTAGGAGAGAGGGGGAAGCAGGGAGTACGACAGCACAGGAGGAGGGGAGGGGAGGGGGGGGGAGGGGACAGCCAGTCTGAGAGGGAGGGACTAGTCGATGGGGAGGGCAGGTTGGGCGATATGGCGGTGGTAGGGACATGAGAGGAGAGAGCAGAGGGGACAATGCTGGTAGAAGGGGAGCAGCTGATGAGAGAGGGAGAGAAGATGATGAGAGAGGGAGAGAAGATGATGAGAGAGGGAGAGAAGAGGATGAGAGAGGAAGAGCAGATGATGAGCGAAAGGGAGAGAAGAGGATGAGAGAGGGAGAGCAGATGATGAGCGAAAGGGAGAGAAGAGGATGAGAGAGGGAGAGCAGATGATAAGCGAAAGGGAGAGCAGATGATGAGCGAAAGGGAGAGAAGAGGATGAGAGAGGGAGAGCAGATGATGAGTGAAAGGGAGAGAAGAGGATGAGTGAGGGAGAGCAGATGTTGAGTGAAAAGGAGAGAAGAGGATGAGTGAGGGAGAGCAGATGTTGAGTGAGGGAGAGCAGATGGTGAGTGAAGGGGAGAGGAGATGATGAGTGAGGGAGAGCACGGCAGTGCGGGCGGCGCGGGAGAGCGTGCATCCAGTGGTGCGGCGTGCACCTTGAGGTGGGCAGCGAGGGGGCAGCGAGGGACAGAGCGAGGCGGAGCAGGAGGCGCTGGTGAGAGAGAGCTGGAGGAGACGTGGTGAGCCAACTTCATCCACTCAAGGTGGGTTGAGTTGACTTGGGTTGACTTGAGTTGACTTGAATTCTGTTGACTTGAGCTCACTGGATTGACTTGAGCTGACTGGACTTGACATGAGTTGACTGGACTTGACCTGAGTTGACTGGACTTGACCTGAGTTGACCGGACTTGACCAGCGAGGCAGAGCAGGCGAGGGTCAAACAGAAGCAACAAGCAATGAGGCGGGCCAACGCCTTGCACGTAAGCAGGGGGTGCGACGGGTGCAGAGTGTGTGGGCAGGATCACGTTAAAAAGCATACGTCATTAAAACAGAGCAGGCTGGCTTTAGAGGCGCCTCAAAAGTCATGCGTTGGCATGACCACTTGGAAAAGCAGATCCAGTGCTGTAAAAGCGGGCCAGGCCGGCCCACGCCCCGGCCCATGCTCATGTCTCACAGAGACATATGAACTGGCTGAAGAGAGGAACAAGGAGTTACGCGGAGAAGCCAGCAGAGCTTGGGGAAGCAGCCCCACCTACCTTGGTACCTACCTTTGAGACGTCCCAAAATGAGGAAGAGCCAGCAGAGCTTGGGGAAGCAGCCCCACCTACCTTGGTACCTACCTCTGACTCACAAGGACTCGCACTGACCTGCAATGGATGGAAACTCACTGCTACTCCTTTGAGAAAGCTGACCTGATCAGGAAGAGTGCATCTGATGTAAATGCCATGAGGGTGGGATCAACACAATGTGAATGCCATAAGGGTGGGATCAGCACAATGTGATTGCCATAAGGGTGGGATCAACACTATGTGAATGCCACAAGGGTGGGATCAACACTATGTGAATGCCATGAGGGTGGGATCAACACAATGTGAATGCCATAAGGGTGGGATCAGCACAATGTGATTGCCAGAAGGGTGGGATCAACACTATGTGAATGCCACAAGGGTGGGATCAACACTATAAGAATGCCATGAGGGTGGGATCAACACAATGTGAATGCCATAAGGGTGGGATCAACACAATGTGATTGCCATAAGGGTGGGATCAACACTATGTGAATGCCACAAGGGTGGGATCAACACTATAAGAATGCCATGAGGGTGGGATCAACACAATGTGAATGCCATAAGGGTGGGATCAACACAATGTGATTGCCATAAGGGTGGGATCAACACTATGTGAATGCCACAAGGGTGGGATCAACACTATGTGAATGCCATGAGGGTGGGATCAACACTATGTGAATGCCATGAGGGTGGGATCAACACTATGTGAATGCCATCAGGTGCAATCAACACCATATGGTACCCCCTGCACCATGTGAGCATCTGTGTGCTGGCAGGATCACTTGAACAAACCGAGACAATGCACATTTCAGCTCATGTGACAGGAGTGCCAAGGCAGCAGAGGTGGCGGTACGTTATGGTGACCATGGTGACGAGGTTCAGGTTCGCGTGCCCATGCTGCTCTCCTCTGCCCGTGCCCATGCTGCTCTCCCCTGCTCATGCTGCTCTCCCCTGCTCATGCTGCTCTCCCCTGCTCATGCTGCTCTCCCCTGCTCATGCTGCTCTCCCCTGCTCATGCTGCTCTCCCCTGCTCATGCTGCTCTCCCCTGCCCTGACGCTCACCTTTGCCCTTGTCTCTTCTCTCGCTCTCATGCTCCCCTCCGCTCCGTGTGCTTCCTCCTACCCATATGGGCCTCTGCTTCTCTCGTGGTCTTCCTCTTCCTTGGTGTTCTTTCGTTGCCTATGATCCCCCTCTCAACGTACGTATGCTCTACCCCTTACCCACACATCTAGTCCAACCCTCGTGGCCTTCCCCTGGTCAGGTATCCTATCTTTTCCTTCCGTTCCCCACTGGCCCTGCTTTTATCTGCCCCCACGCCGTCCTTCCATGTTCAGGCGGTGCCTTCATGATCCTTTTGCTCTCATCGGCCCCTGCACCTCTCTCTGCCCCTTCACTCTCCTATTTCCATGCTGCTTTTATCTGTACCCACGCCGTCCTTTCATGTTCAGGAGGTGCCTTTATGTTCCTTTGCTCCCTTCGGCCCTTGCACCACTCTCTCTCTCTGCCCCTTCACGCTCATATGTCCATGCGGCTCTTGAGGCACCTCAAAAGACCTCTCTCTGCCCCGTCCCTCTCGTATGTCTATGCGGCTCTTTTATGCCACTTTGCTTTTGAGTCTACTCAAAAGTCACACCATCGGCCCTTGCATCTCTCTCTGCCCTTGCACCTCTCTCTGCCCCTGCACTCTCGTATGTTGATGCGGCTCTTTTCTCCCTCTCCGCTCATGTGCTACCCCCAGAGGAAACTCCCCATGCCCATCTGCATTTCCCCAATCATATACCCCTCAAGCTCCAAGCTGCCACCTCCTCTTTGCCTGCTTCCAATTTCACACATACAGCTTTTGACAGAGGGGCCTATCGCTAAAAGCGACGTGACCCGGACAAGTTCATACGTATGTGGTGCCATTCAACCGATGTGGTTGGAACCCCACATGCCTTTATTATACCACCGGATCCATCTCATTTTTTATTATCGATTTCAGGCCGTCTTTAATCGGTCAACCCCTCACCCGTCAAGGTGCATGGTAAGCTTCATCCTGCCAAGGAATGCCTCAGCTGTTCACCCGCGACCGGTCTTTTCCTCTCGGAACCGGTCGGCGGCCTTGCTTCGTTATGAGCATCTTCACTTAACGCCGTTGTCACCGCCAGCTTCTTACCCCATGCGTGCAACAGCCAGAGCTCGTCCAGCCGGTTTTTGACAATTCTCATAAAACACCGCCAGCTTCTTGCCCCACGCTGGCCCACCCGGAGCTCGTCCAGCCAAGAAGAGTATCCGCTGTGAATTGCCGGGGGTGGACTTAGAGGCGCCTCAAAACGCGCCGGCCCAGCCGGAGCTCGTCCAGCGAAGCAAAGCCTGCGCCGTGAATCGCCCAGGGTCAACTTTTGAGGCGCCTCAAAAGTCACCGCCGGCTTCTTGCCCCACGCTGGCCCACCCGGAGCTCGTCTCCTCCAGCCAAGAAAAGCCTCCGCCGTGAATCGCCCGGGTTGTCTTTTGAGGCGCCTCAGAACCCGCCGGCCCAGCCGGAGCTCGTCCAGCCCAGAAAAGCCTCCGCCGTGAATCGCCCGGGGTTGCGAATCGTCTGCGGCGACGCCCAGCTGACACGCGGCATGTGCGCTCCAGGCCCGGTGCTCCGGAATTCCGCAAAGAAAACACCGTTCTTCCTAGCGAGTGCCTCGGTGTCGGCGTCCCACGTCAGCCACCCGTCCGGTTGAATCTCCTTGGGCAGAAAGCAGTTGATGAAAACCGAAGTGCCTGTGTTGGCCCATGGCCGGCCCAGATACGCCTTCCCCACACCCGCATCGGACGTTATCACTGCATCCCTGATAATAATCCCCTTTGGGTCGGGGTACTTGGGATCGCTCTGCGGCGCTGTGATAATCACCGGGTCGTCTGCGTGCAGCGTGATTTGCGGTCGGTCGAAAACAGCCGCGGATTTCCCGAAGATGAAATCGACTGTGCCGCCCACGCGGCAGTCGCGGAAGTACTGCCGGCCGCTGTGCGGGTAGAGCGTGTCCTGGCTGCCGTCAAACTCGCACTCGAAGAAGGCTGAGAGGTCCTTGGAGCGTAGTGCCACTGCCTGCTGGCCTGCCGGCCCTGCTGTGTTGCGCACCGTTATGCCCAGCGCTGTCAGCATGCCCTTGTTGGCTCCTGGGGTGGGGAGGCGTAGCGGAGGCAAGAGAGAATGAGGGGGAGATGGATCGGGGGATGGGGAAAGGCAGGGGGTTGAGAGGGAGTTATGGTGGCTTCTGGAGGGTAAAGCGTGTCCTGGCTGCCGTCAAACTCGCACTCGAAGAAGGCTGAGAGGTCCTTGGAGCGTAGTGCCACTGCCTGCTCGCCTGCTGGTCCTGCTGTGTTGCGCACGGTGATTCCAAGGGCCGTTAACATGCCCTTGTTGGCTCCTGCAGTGGGGAGGAGTAGCGGAGGCAAGAGAGAATGAGGGAGAGATGGAGGGGGGGATGGGGAAAGGCAGGGGGTTGAGAGGGAGAAATGGTGGCTTCTGGAGGGTAGAGCGTGTCCTGGCTGCCGTCAAACTCGCACTCGAAGAAGGCTGAGAGGTCCTTGGAGCGTAGTGCCACTGCCTGCTCGCCTGCCGGCCCCGCTGTGTTGCGCACCGTTATGCCCAGCGCTGTCAGCATGCCCTTGTTGGCTCCTGGGGTGGGATTAACGCGAGATAGAGGGAGAGGGAAAGACGTGTTGGAATTAGAGTGAGAGTGACAGGTAGACCGGCAGAGGGAGAGGGGGAAATAAGAAAGATGGGAGAGAGAGAGAGGGGCCTGTCAGCATGCCAGCCGGCCCTGCTGTGTTGTGCACCGTTATGCCCAGCGCTGTCAGCATGCCCTTGTTGGCTCCTGGGGTGGGATTCAACGAGAATTAGAGGGACATGGAGGGAGTGGTAGAGAGAGAGGGGGGGGGCGTGGTTGAGTAGAGGTGAGAGTGACAGGCAGGCCTGCAGAGGGAGAGGTGGGAAAGAGTGAAAGGGAGGGGGTATGGAGAGAGAAAATCAGGGAAGAGAGGAAAAGGAGAGCGAGGAGAGGGGCAGTGGGTGAGGGAGAAATGGAGGAAAGAGAGTGAGTGGATAAAGAGAGCGAACAAAGAGGTGTCCCTACTAATGGTGGCAGAGTTGTAGGTGGTGGATCAGCCAATTGAAAGAGGATGAGCGGAGGAGAGAAGGAAGAGGAAGAAAGAGAGGGTGTAATGCAGAGGGTGAGATGCAGAGAGAGGGAGAAAGGGAGGGCACCAACTGATGGTAGCAGAGTTATAGGTGGTGGATTCGCCAATTGAAAGAGGACAAGCGGAGAAGGAAGGGGAAGAGAGAAGAGAGGGTGAGATGCAGAGAGAGGGAGAATGGAAGGGCACCAACCAATGGTAGCAGAGTTATAGGTGGTGGATCCGCCATTAACACTCTTCTTGCCAGTAATTATAGTGTTGCCAATTCCCTCTCCGATCAAAACAATCCCCTTGTTGTCAAAGAGAATTTGCTCGTCGTACACTCCTCTCTTTATGAATATAACGAAGGTCCCCTTCATTGGTGCAGCGCCAATCGCAGCCTGCAAGTGTAATGAAGAAAGTAAATACAGGAAACAGTTTCGGCTCAAGACTACACAGGCGCTTCCACCTTACAATCAAAGCTTTGTCACGAGCACGAGAAACTGGTGCTGAAATGCACAAAGCCGAAACCCCACTCGTCGGCTCAACTCCCCTCAGAACCACCGACATCTTTTACGTTGTCGCAAATCCTTCGCACCTAGAGCGTTCTGTGTGTGGAAGATTCCCCCTTGGCTGCGATCGTGTGTACTTGGGACATCCATTCTTCTTTTGATAGACGTTGCAAAATTTTTTTATTTCGCCCCAGTTCCTCACCTGAAGCGTCATGTGAGTGCCAGATCCGTCCTGGGCCACGATCGCGTCCACTTGCGGTGGTAACAGGCTGGTGTAATTGCCCTTGAAGCCGCCCAAAATTGCTCCGACTTTCGTTCCTGGTGTCACTCCTGGTGTCACCCCTGGCGTCACTCCTGGTGTCACCCCTGGCGTCACTCCTGGCGTCACTCCTGGCGTCACTCCTGGCGTCACTCCTGGCGTCACTCCTGGTGTCACTCCTGGCGTCACTCCTGGTGTCACTCCTGGTGTCACTCCTGGTGTCACTCCGCCCTTCTTCTCGCCGTGTTTGCCCCCTTCCCGCTTGCTCATCTTCCCATTGCTGCTAGTTCGCGAACCCAAACTAGAACCCGAACTCGAGGTCTGAAGCGCCATATGAAACGCGTAGGCATCTGCATACAAATCGCCCCCCTTTCCGTTACTAGGATTATCAAGGCCTTCGACCTCTAAGCGACGGCGAATGGAGGCACTCTGCTCCACTGCGCCTCCTGCATCCGCTATCCCCCCTTCCCCGCGCATCATCTGGCTCCGCGTTGCCCTTGACTCCGCGCCATCCAGGCCGAGTCTTCTCCGCGCACGCCCCCATTCCGCCACGTCCTCCGCAGCCCCCGCGTCCCCTCCGCGCATGTGCGCCGCCTGAATCCGCTTCAGGTGCTCGAAAAGCCCGGGGGTTACCCACCCTGGTGCGTTGCTTTCGCCCGTATGGTCCGTTTCCGTCGTTCTCCGTCGGCGAGAGGGGGAATCGTAATCGTTCACGTTGGCGGAAGAGTCGGCGGAAGAGTCGCCGGTGACATTGACGGAACCATCAGCGGGATAATAACCGCCTGCGACAGAGGAAACTTTGTCGTTCCCCAGGGGAAACCTTGCGGAAGGGGCGAGCGCGTGGGCTGCGGTGACTGTGACTGTAATGAGCGTGACCTCCCCCTGGAGCCGCACTTCCGGCGCCGTATCCAGCGCATCAGGCGCGAATTCCTGCAGCCCCTCGATACAGCCGTCGATGTTCGCCCGAGCTGACGTCAGGAGGTACGGCAAGTCGTCAACGGAAACCGTCAAATCGGCCGGGAAAATTGGATTAATGTTAGGATGCCGGATTTCCGGAGTGTATTTTGAACCGTTGATTGAGGCGGTGACGGCGCTGATCGAATCTTCGAGATTGTCGAGCGCCATGGATATCTGGAAGGGGGAGCAAAGAGAAGGGGAGGAGTTGGAAGTCTAGCTAATATTGCGACTAATCAAAGGAATTTAGAAGTGAGCAGATACCTGAATGGATTGCGGAAGGAGGAAGCGACGAAGGGAAGAAGCGCCGCTTAATGCAGAGGGTTTCCCACGATTCAGCAATTTGTTTCCCACGATGAGAGTAGCAGTTTCAGCTGCAGAGTGAATGTGGTTCATATCTAATATCCAAACATCATAGAATCTCTAGTAAATAATTACCTGGTGAATGCAGTCAACCGCCGCCGCGTACGTCAGAGAGCCTTCGTCCGCGTTTTCCGATTTCAGCTGCGCCACGTGATCCATCATCGCTTGCGCGCGCTCCATTGCGCGCCGAATGAGCGCCCGCTGCATGCCGCGAGGAGTTGGCGGAACGGAATCCGCGCGCAACGAGCGTCGCGCGGAGAATACTTCTGCGGAGCAAAGGGCAGAGTGCTTGGGCAGAAGAGAGCATGCGTCTGGCAGCGAAAGCTCTTCGTTGAGAAGCCGCGCAGTTGCTTGGTGACCGATTAAAGCAATCGAGAATGTGACGACGAGAACGAGAGGCCTGTATGCAGTCGAGCCGATTCTGGGAATTTTCATTGTGAATGAAGACTTGTTCTGGTTGTTCTCAGCTATGCACCCCTGATTTCAAATTACTACAGCTGGAACGTTTAGGAGCAGAGCTAGCACAACTGAGCTAGCACCGGGATGTAATGGCGGCTTCAAGAATGGTGAATGATAGATGAAGATGAATATGATGAGAAGGATGAGGAATGCGGATGTTAGCAGTATCTGGTGAGAGGGTGCGGAGGGAGATTCGTTGTGTTGGGTTCGGTTCTGAAGCTACCCTAGAACAAGGGACTAACACAAATGCGGCTCGATTCTGGGTGACTTACTTGCGCGGTGAAGGGAAGGGGGAGACGCTGCTGGCGTATCTCCGTAACTCACGCTTGTGTGGAAGGCAACGGAAATCATGTACTGCCCTGACTGATTCAAGCGCGATGGCTGCAATTATTGGTGTAATACAACAGTATGGATAAGCACTTTTGTGTACCTACCAACCCTATATGTTTGATTTCACAACTTGGGAATGCAGTTTTATACATGGGTTTTCATGCACTGTTTGATTCGAAGCAATAATTTGAAAAAAATTGGATAATCAATAACTCTTGAACAACATTTCAAAATAAATGTAAAACCAAACATGCAAATGTCAAATTAGTTTAGGCTACAGCGAGGTGCTTTTTAGAGAGTACACCACTTTATGGTTTCACATTTGAGGGCATCATGGGGTAAACTTTGACAGATCAACATCACAATAAGAACAACTGCTAAGTGCATCATGATGCAGAGACCACAAGCAACAGGCAGAATTGCCACTATGTGCGCAATCAAAATGGGTTGTCGTTCATGCAGTCACGCAAAGGCGGGAGGACAAGCGTATTTGGCCCAGGCCGAACTTCATACCCCATGAGATGAGAATAATCGAAAGCATAAAAGCAAGGTTTGCATGACTGTGGTGAATAACATCTGCTCTGAATATACAGTACCTGAACTAGGCAGAGGAAGGATAGAGAGGACCAATGGTGCGTAGCTCCTTGTCGTGATTACCTTGGAGAGAGTCTTGAAGTATGTACTTGGAGGGTCCGAACTAGTCAACACGGAATTCACAATACCTTTTGATTCAAATGATTGACTGGGTTGTTGGTTGATTGGGTTGACTTGGTTGACTGGGTTAACTTTTTGACTGGGTTGACTGAGTTGACTGGACTGCCTGGGTTGACTGGGCTGATTGGATTGACTGCATTGGCGTAGTTCATTGGGTTGACTCAGTTGACTCAGTTGACTCAGTTGACATAGTTGAGTAGGAGGACATGGTTGACTGAGATGAGTGGGTTGACTGAGACGAGTGGGTTGACTAAGATGAGTGGGTTGATTGAGACGAGTGGGTTGACTGAGATGAGTGGGTTGACTGAGATGAGTGGGTTGACTGAGATGAGTGGGGTGACTGAGATGAGTGGGTTGACTGAGATGAGTGGGTTGACTTAGATGAGTGGGGTGACTGAGATGGGTGGGTTGACTGAGATGAGTGGGGTGACTGAGATGAGTGGGTTGACTGAGATGAGTGGGTTGACTGAGATGAGTGGGTTGACTGAGATGAGTGGGTTGACTGAGATGAGTGGGTTGACTGAGACGAGTGGGGTGACTGAGATGAGTGGGTTGACTGAGATGAGTCGGGTGACTGAGATGAGTGGGTTAACTGAGATGAGTGGGGTGACTGAGATGAGTGGGTTGACTGAGATGAGTGGGTTGACTGAAATGAGTGGGTTGACTGAGATGCGTGGGTTGACTGAGATGAGTGGGTTGACTGAGATGAGTGGGTTGACTGAGATGAGTGGGTTGACTGAGATGAGTGGGTTGACTGAGATGAGTGGGTCGATTGAGATGAGTGGGTTGACTGAGATGAGTGGGTTGACTGAGATTAGTGGGTTGACTGAGATGAGTGGGTTGACTGAGATGAGTGGGTTGACTGAGATGAGTGGGTTGACTGAGATGAGTGGGTTGACTGAGATGAGTGGGTCGATTGAGATGAGTGGGTTGACTGAGATGAGTGGGTTGACTGAGATTAGTGGGTTGACTGAGATGAGTGGGCTGACTGAGATGAGTGGGTTGACTGACATGAGTGGGTTGACTGAGATGCGTGGGTTGACTGAGATGAGTGGGTTGACTGAGATGAGTGGGTTGACTGAGATGAGAGGGTTGACTGAGATGAGTGGGTTGATTGAGATGAGTGGGTTGACTGAGATGAGTGGGTTGACTGAGACGAGTGTGTTGATTGAGATGAATGGGTTGGCCACGTATTTGCAGACCCTTGCTCGTCCGATGCAGCCCTTGCTCACGCTCGAACCATGTGTTTGACAGGCTGATCTGCCGAACTCATTATTCGAGCCGCCGCTCATTGAAAGCGTGAGGTGTGTGCGACAGGGGGACCTCCTAGGCCCCATGCTCTTCGCCGCAGCCATTTATTCTGCACTACTCAAGGCCGTGGGATCGTGTCCCTTGACCTTGGTAATGGCGCAGCCAGACGATATCACCCTCGTGGGAGAGCCGGATGAAGCGGTGAGCGGGCGCTTGACCTTATCTGCAAGGAGTTACGGGGATGCGGGCTGCGATGCAACTTCGGCAAATCGTCGACGTGGAGCCCAGCGGGTGTCGCGGACGACTTACCTGAGAGACTGGTAGTGGCAGTGGCGTCATCCACGTTCTGGAAAGTCTGATCGACGCGCCAGTAAATGGAAGACACTTCATTGGCAAGACGCTAGAGATGGTAGCCGCACCGCTCGGCCTAATCAGCAAGCTCCACCCTCAGCATGCAGTTTTCCTCCTGTCTTGCTACATTCCGCGCTGGATCTCGTGCCTCCTTCGCACGGCACTGGCTGCTGACCTGCTACCCCTGAGAGAGTGGCGGTAGTGGAGTGACTGGCTAGTTTGGATGGCACTCAAAGCCTCTCATCTGTACACGCCCACAGACGAGTTATAGCAGAGTCTCCAATGGAGACAAGCAACGCTGCCGGTTTGCCTAGGCGGGCTGGGGCTCATTGAACCAATACCGGAAGCGCAAGCGGCATACCTCGCCTCGCTAAACGTGGCGAAGTCCCTACTACAGCACATCCCCACACCGCTAGACCACCCCTTATGTCTCGGAGTAAGGCTTGTATCACTGCAGGAGGAAGGACCCATGACGGCTGCGGGGGAGACACTGCAGGACCTGAGGAGCAGACTTCCAAAAACAACACGAAAACAGCTCCGGGAGAACCACCGGAAGGGGGATAGGAGGAATAATATGCAGTTAATCCTCTCACGACACATCAACCTGAGCAGAGCAGGTAAGCTCATTGGGGAGACTAGTTTGGACAAGCCGGGAGCAGATAACAGCCATGTGCTGCGGCTATTGAGCCTGCAGGATCCATGGGGCGGGGAACTGGCTCCACGCCGTCCCCACCAGAGGGGACCTGAGTTTTCCACCAAGACAGTTCGCTTTGGCACTGGGTTTCTGCCTTGGACTTAACCTAGCGCTGACCGACAGATGTCCCTGGCAAGGGAGGCGCTCAGTAGGGCTGCTCTTTTACCCTTCTCAAACCGTTTTCAACCGTTTTGCACAACTGTTTCGGCCGTTACCATGTTATGATGTGACTTTGAATCACATGGCCATTCTTTTGAATCCTTTCTCTAGGGCGACCATCGCAAGCCTTCGCAGCACCTCGTCACCCAGGTAACCTGGTCGACCTTGCAACCAGGTCGACCAGAGGCTCCAGTGCGTGCCCGTCGACCACCCAGGTCGACGACCACTTCCGGTCGACCTCCCAGGTCGACCACTGCCTCTGGTACGTGCCGGTCGACCTCCCAAGTCGACGGACACCTCCAGTCGACCTCCCCAGGTCGACCACCTGAAGTTGGCGCCCTCCCGAAGTCGGCGCCCATGCAGTGGCTCCCCGTGCAGGTCGACCAACCTCGTCGACCAGCCCGCCCACTGCTGCAGGTCGGCTGCACCCTACACCCGACCACGAAGTCGGCTCCGCCCAAGCGAGGACGGGGCCAACACCCAACTCCCGTTGACACTCCCCTGCCGCGTTCACGCTTGGGCCCCCAGCCCACACGGCAGTACCTCTCGGAGAACAGCTCGTCGACGTGCACCCAACACACAGCACGTCGTCCACCGCACCAGCCATGCAAGAGGGCATGGCACCTACTGCTGCACGTTGTCGTCGCCGTCGCCCACGTCGGCCAGACGCACTTGGCCGATTGCAACGGAGCACCGGTTGAAGGCCGGATAGTGCAGCGCCTTCGTGAGGAAGTCGGCCGGCTGCTCAGCGGTCGGAATGTACTGCAGCGCAAACTTCCCCCGCTTCACCATGTGCTGCAGCCAGACCTGTCGCCGCTCCATGTGCTTGAGGTTGCCCGTCAACCCCATG